GTGACATCAAAATATGCACTTTACAGCTGTAAGCGAGATGAAAATCAAATCATCCCTGTCACTTTCCTATGAGAGTCCCTACCCCCATCCACCCCCACCCCGGGGGCGGTTACCATTCAGGGAGACAGTTATTTGGCGACGTAACGCCATTTCATGTCATCTGTTGCTAAAGTTTTCTTCTTCGATGATATGTCACAGTGTTTGCCTTATTATGACAATTATGTCGCAAGATAAGCAACAGTGGTAAAAACAGGCGTTATTTTAGCTCTGAAAATTTTTAGAGATAAGATATGCAGTAGGTAGTAAATGACGATGTTTAATTTAGCCAATATTTCTTAAACAAATCAAAAATTTATTCGCGCAGGTTAACTTTGCCGTGGATACATCATGAAAACAGGAAAGGCTCGCAGTTTGACTTATGATTATTGTTTGTAAGAAATTAGAATGTACGAAGCAAAGTTTCAGACATGTTGGGGTAAATCCCACGCACTGCGATGCGATTTGCTTACAGACACATAACACCAAGTAACTAAGGGTTTTCATATCTATCAGGTTTTTCTTCTTAATTCTTCCTTTTTTGGGACTTTTTTATTTTACAATTGTATTATATTTCAGGCGTGGTACATCAAAGACGAGTTATCATTAGATTAATAGTGTCTTGTATTGTCATATCTGCATATTTCAAATGCAATGTTAGTCACTGCTGTTCTAGCCAGCGAGCATGCTCACTTGTGTGAATTCCGAGGGAAAATTATTTTGCCGGCGGAGCCCTTGTCCTCACGTGATGGGGGCTCCGCCGCCAAAAATTTCCCCCGAACTTGCACAAGTAAGCCTGCTCACAGGCTATTGCTGTTCACGTGAAAATGAAACTTGGAGGCAGTACTCCTGAATAATGAGATGCTCTGGCTAGTTAACACGAAATTTCCGACAAAAAAAATAGCAAATTGTAGCCCTTATTTTACTATCTTACAAGTTATCAGTAATCTTGAAACTCAAAGATCATATAAAATTACGGTTAATCTCAAGAGCGGTTCTCAAATTATTTACCAAAATGTTTACAAAACTGCTAACAAGAGCGCCTCGATACATACTATTCCTCTTTCTAGAAATCGGCTAAAGCTATCTCCATGATTTTTCACACACGTGATTAAAAATGTTGAAACTACTATTAACTATGAGGGGAAGTTGCATTTCAAAAGCGCTTAGATTTAGACAGATAACGGCCGAACATCAAGATTGTCTAGTTTTAACAAGAGACTATAGTCTCTTGGTTTTAAAAAGAGACTATAGTCTCTTGGTTTTAAATGTATTTCTATCATAAAAACTTCATCCCAAAATAGTATCTCTTATAGATTTTGCTTAAACTTCACGAACATCGAGGCGGCTATTGGAGGAAAAAGCTCTCATGAAAGATTTTGGAAGAAATGTTCATCATTGCCGAAAAACATACGGTTATTTTTCCAAATCTTTGTAAAAAGGTATTTAACGCCCAAATTTGGGAGGTTGTTATGCAAAAATTCGATCGAGCCATTAATTAGTTCCCTGAAGCGTGCAAATGTTCATCATCATTTAATTTTGACAGCGTTTGGGGATTTATTTTTCCAAATCTTTGTTTTGTCGACAATTTGTTTCATTAAGCCTACTAAAGTAACTAGTTTTGTTCGCGTAAACAAGACTATTGACCCAATGCAAGACGTTTTTTTGCAACAGGTCGGATAGCAATATATATTTTTTTTGAAATCACTCAACCCCCAAAAGACCTTTTCCACAGTTGCAAATTAGAAGTTACTTCTAATCGATTTTAGCTGCTACAAGATAAATTATGCGGCAGTATGACTACTATCTCTTATTTAAGGAAGAGAACTTCGTTTTTGTGGTTGGAGTGGTTTATGTCCCACGTCGGTTTAGCACCTCGGCATAAGTACCTAAAAGGGAGTCTTCTACATCCTCTACTTGTGATTTGTCTCGGCTCGTTCCTTCGCTATCTAAAATATTATGTTGCGAAACGATAACTCAATAATGTTAACTGGTATTTTTTCACTGATAACCACCATAGTTTATGCTTTAACAATATTCCAATTTCGTCCTCTGAGAACTCATATGTACATGTGTCTTCTCATTCCTCTTACGGCTTGGAGATGTTTGAGTGTCATAATGTGACACCCTCGTGTTTTCCTCTGGTGTCGAGCAACTTGTTCGTTTTAAGTTAGGGAATATATGTGCCGTTGGATAATCCATTTGTTAAAGGTTCTTCTTGTAATAACTCTTTGAGCATTTTTACGCACATGTGCAGGCAGCGAGGAACATGAAAGCACCCTGAAACGGTCCAAACAAATAATTAACTTGATTTTGACTTGGTTGTTGAAAGGCAGCAACTGATTCCAATTGTCTCAATTGTCAGTCACTATAAATTGGTTTTAACTAGGTAAAATTATTAGAGACATCTATATTGTAGCATGGTGATCATCAATAAAAAAAGGCAGAGTGGCGTTATTTATTCATGAATACACAATTCAGATATTACACCTCCTTTCCTGCTTTTATCAAAGATACAGGAAATGGCGTGTGTTTCACGCAATTTCTGATAAAAAGCCTGGGAAAATTGTTACGTTGTTTGCAGAAAAAGGATTTTGGCAATATTCTGCCACACCGAGCAAAAAGTTTATACTTTCTCTTCTCACCTTCAGAAATTCATTAGAGATCCTCCTCTGGAGTTGTCGAAGTAGGTTTTACAAGGAGACGTACGTATATAACTATAACAGTTTAGTTGGGGAAATACCCCTCCCAGCCTACGTACCTTTAAACGGTCCTCCTTTAAATGTATGGGTAACCTCGCCTTTCTGGTTGAGATATCCAAACCACTCACCATGTTTGGGATCAGAAAACTGTAAGCAACGGGAAAAGTGATTTTAATAAATCTCACAAAATGTTTCGCGGTTTAGGCACGTAGTATGCGCGGAATTTGCGATGTTTCCAGGTTAGTACGTGTAAGGGAAATTAACCTTTTTAGGGGACTTTGAAAGGTGGATCCTCCTTTGATGATTTACTTGTCATCTCTGTGTTTAGCATTAAAAGAGTGTAGATAGAAAGAATCAACTCAGTCTAACATTTTGAAAAAATTTGTGTTCTGCGTCCCTCAAATAATTTGCACAATGGAATCATCTACCGTACAAGATTTTTTATGCCAGTGGGATGCTCTTTCGCGAAAACTAGTTTCTGGGATTAGTCTCGAAAGAGCAAATCTTCTCGACCAGGTTTATCTGGCGGCTGTAGGACTAGTTCATGTGGTGGAGCATTTGACTGAAAGGAGGGCGATCGCGAATTCGATTCCCGGACCAATACTAGGGCACGGTCTTAGAATAACTGAACATACTGCCTCTGCAGCCTTTGTCCTGCAAACAGCTAGACTTCGCCTCGCTTGGACGGCCACGTAAAATGGCGGGCCTGTCTCTGGTACGAGACGTAAAAATAGTGTCCTCAATTTGTTCTTTCCTGCTTAATACATTACCACTCAATTGAAGAGTGTTTTTTTTTTCACCTTCTGTACCCGCCTCAATAACAACCATGCATGTCTTACGTGAGAGAATGTGTACTGGAACACAAGATCAAACTTTTCCATGTAGCGATAATCTCTTGTCTCTTTATAAGCCATCAGAAATGCAATAAGAGCTTCGGCATGAGGCCACCACAGCTTCATGTTCCATTCCAGCTGAGTCGGAGAGAAACCATTTGCATCCAACATGTAGAGAAGACCGCCATACATGTCATCCCAACCTATCTCAAATGACTGCACGATGAACTTGTCAATGGCGATTCTCGCCAGTTCGTAGTTCTGTTTTTTGGTAGCATATTGCAGGAGAAACCATCCTGCTTCAATAGCATGACCAGGAATGATGAGCCGACCTTCCGCACCTCCGATCTCTTTTCCTTCTTCTGTAACTTTTTCAAGCACCACTCTCCCTCTTCTCTGAATTAAAATCAATTTTCAAATCTTTCCTTTCAAATCGTTCATTCACAGAAGAATTTAGAATGCACAAGACTTTACACGAATATGTATATCTCCTAACTAACAACAAGACACCAGTTATTCGAAAGTTAAATAGTGCTCTCCGCCGGACAAATCTCTATCCACTGGATATGTATTAGGAAAGCCAATCGTGCTAGTGATCCACTGTCCATAGGATAGTAGTATCATCTTTTGAACAATTGAGTTCTGATTAAACTCTCCTATTTTCCTTTTTCAATTTTTGGCACACCAAGATTTACCCTAGTGCCAACATTTGTATTGCGATCATTTTTTGCACAAAACAAAACTTTGACCAAATAACCAGTGGCGGATCAAGGGGTGTGGCCTGCCCCCTGCACTTTTTTAGATCAAAACCAAGGACTGCGCGACATCAGTACCTGTAAGTGCTTTAAGATCTGTTGTACAGCCCACTCCTCATCTTCGCTGTAAATGTTTTGAAGGCGCTCCTCGTCGCGGCAGACCTCATCAATTACATACAGCACCATCATGGGTACGGCGAGAGGGTTCACTTCCTCTTGACCCGATAATTTGGGTCGTCCTAGCTGCGTGTCATCAATGCGTGCCCAGTGTGTGACAAGAGATAACATCTTTATTGCTTCTTCCTGACAAAAGAAAGCGTATACTTAGTGCTATAAAATTTACCCGCGAACGAGCTCTCCAATTACCGGTCAGTTGCCTCGCACGAGAAAGGTGGAGAGATTTCAGGCCCGAGATACGGGTGAAGCGAGTCGTGAGACAACGAGTAAAATCCCTGGTCTCTTGCTTTCGGGCTTCCTTGAAGAAAAGTAAAAATTGTGGTAATCTACTGGCGAATGATTGAGCAGCAAAATAAAAGAGCATTTGTGTGTATAAAGAACAGAATCAGCTCTAAAAATATGTGTTTCGACGCTGACTTATTAACAGAACTTAAGGACAAATTCTTAGTAATTTATACCCTATACTTGGGAAGATTGCTAGCTCTTGCCAGTTCAGCCATTGCAAGAGTGTAAAAGCACTCCGTGAAAACTGTCCTTTGGATTTTAATGGGCTGCCCTTCGGCTGTGACTTGAAAGTAGCATCTACCATCCTCAGGTCTCTTGATGTGGTTTAGAAGGAACTCGCCCCCTACAATATAAAAAAGGTAGAATTGTGGAATCAGACTGGGATTTGTTCTGATAAAGCTCTAAGGAGAATTTAGAATTATCGGCAATTGAGTCATTGTTAATGATATATGAAATAAATCATATAAGAACTGCGGAAATGAAATGAAAATGAAGAAATGATCGTCGCAGTGAACGCAATTTATGCAATTGCGTAAAGAAGCCTGAAAAAATTCAGGACTTCAACGGGGTTTGAACCCGTGATTAATGGTGCGATGCTCTACCAACTGAGCTATGAAGCCACTGACGTTGTTCTCCTCACACTCATGATAAGACTCAGGCTTCACATGGGACATGGAAGTGGTCGACTTTAAAGATAATATGTCACGCTTTTTTCGACTATTTTAGTAAATTTCAACGCTTCCGAAACGATCACAGAATTGGCTAAAATATCTACACAGCTACTTTAAATTGTAGAAGAAAGTGATGGAAATCAATGAGGAAAAAAAAAGGAGTATGAATGGGTAAAATCGTGAAGAACACTTTCACTTTTTCATGTTTGTATTTCTTCATTTTATCTGAAGGTGTGTGTTACAATACTTGGAAATCATCCATATATGTTTTGTGACCATGACAATTTATAGTTTAGAACTCGTAGTCAACAAAACTAGAGAAAAATAAAAAACAGCATTGAAAATACCGTGCCGGATGATCGAAAAAGAGTTTTTAAAGTTACCTGACAATGCAGCTTTAAGTATTTTTGCAGTACCGTATTGGTCAGTTTCGTTGTAAAGCTTGGAGTACATCCACACCTTTAAAATGGAAACAACAACAACAAAACAAAAAATTACAAAAATGTGAAGAAAAAGCTGTATGACTCTTACGAGAAATATGTGTTAAAATAACTTAACTGCAATCAATTACTAAACGCGAGGTAAACGTGGGAATGAAAAAATAAGATCTTACCTGCCTTCCTTCTAACCAACCATACTTGGTACCATCATACACCTTGCCATCTCTAGCGAGGCATACGTAATAACCACTGCAATAGTAAGAATAAACTGCTGTTACTTGTGATTAAAACTACCGACATAATGATGAACCAATCAGAAACCAACACAAATTCACGTGACTTGTGCTTAAGGCGGAAACGCCGTTAAATTGAACTGCGATTGGTCTAAGAGGTAGGAGTGTCTTTTCTTTTAGGCAAGAGGACAAGCTCAGTGTTCCGGCCAGACTTGAGCGAGTTACCGAACTGAGAAGAAGCTCACTCGCTTGTAATATGCTTTCCCGCGCGAGAATTCCGAGAAATATATAATAAGTCTATACTGGGTCACTACAAAGTCCCTAGCAGGTTATAAAATATATTTCAGCATTTTAAATTTATAAAGAAGAATCAGTTATGGACTCTAGCAAGGAATATATATCATTTTAAATTGCCCGATTACTTCAAATACATAAAGAAATCGATTTGAGCATCCAACTGAATCGTAAATGAAAAATTGTACAATTTGAAGGTGAAAAATTAAAGAATGCTTCATACTTAGCGTTGCATTGGTGCGCTTGAAATTTTAATAAATTATACAACACTAGGTACAAGTTATTCACGCCTTATTGGTTTTCGGAATTTGCTCTACAGTCGAATTTCCATGTGTGACTTCCTCCCATAAACGAACACTACCTCTTCACATTTTGGGTGGTCGGGAAGGTTGAACTGTATTATACTCCTCAAAACAATGCAAATACAGCTCACCGGGGTAATTAAGACTCAAACATAAACAGCAGAAAACAATCCATTGTTTTTGTCAATTAAGTTATGCCTCGTTATCAAACACAAAGTAATTTTTAGTAAAACACATGATCGAAGACCAACTACCAGTCTCCGCACGGGGTTCGACTCGCTTGGCAAATCATCCATGTCCTCTTAAGTCAACTAACTTAATCATGTTTGTTTATGCCCGGCTTACCCGTTTCTTATATCACGGGAGTTTTCCAACCAGAAGTTGACAGTTCTGTCGAGTTCTTTTTCCATCGTCTCTAAGTAATTCTCCAGCTGATCGCGGCTCACAGCCATGATTGATGTCCCACCCGTACAACTTTTAAGATCTGCCAAAATGACATGGTTAGAATAAGTTAAATTTTTCTCGTATAGCAATTTAAATGTAGGAATTAAACAAGCTGTTCGATCGTGGGAACATGTTAGTTTTGGTTTAAGCGTCGTCTTTTAGAATACTTAAGTATCACTCGGTCTATGAGTACATGTAAATTTTGAGTCTTGAAAATTTTTCTAAACTTTTAAATGAAAAGCCGTTGCTCACTAATTCCTTGCAAAGCAGACTGCCTACATTCTTATAAATTAAAAAAAAAAAAGAATACGATCAGAAGATAACCAGCCAATTAAAGCTATCTGCTACAATATTTAAAAGAGATTCTTCCGTGTGTGTATGTATTAAAAATAATCGATACAAGGTACAACCTAAAAGTCTTATGGTCGTGGGAATATGTCATTGTTTAATCAATCCCGGAGATTATTTTGTTGAATTAAATGGCCTCAATCATATCTTCTTCAAAACGTTTCGTCTATATTTTGTCCGCAATCTTCAGTTCACACTTGTCTAAGATGGTGTGGTTTTTTAATGTTTTCCTACGGAATTGAACGATTGATTTGACAATAAAACGCATCCTTTACTTTTTGGCGTGATTATTTTGTACAGTTTCATAAACGACCGACTGATCCAGCAACAAATAATAAAAGAAAAGAAATTTAACAACAATATTATTAAGAAAAAAATTCGAGACTTCTCGAGTCTTGATTATAGAACCTCAAAGCCAGTTAGTCAAAACAAGTAACTCAGGAGCAGATACCAAGATCACCATATTCATAATTTAATTTTTTTAGAGTGTATGTTAGTAGAAATAGCACCATTTTAAAGAACTGCTAGAAAGGTTTGATTTGAATGGTGACGCCACAGGATCTCGTCCACAGTCTTTAAAGTTAGTACTTCATCATAAATGTCTCTATAATTAACAAGGGAAGTGAAAAGGTTCGGCGAAGAATTTTAAAAATGTATCAAAACGCGCACACTCGCAGCTCGGGGCTAAAAACTCTATATAGCCTTTTGAAATTAGCTGTCTATTATACTTTCTCTTCAATTTGTATTAAGCTTACAATTAAGACAGCGATATTCGAATGAGCAGTTCAATTATACATTTAAAATCACTTAAAACTGATGACGTAAATACTTGTCAAAGAATGTAGTTGTTTGTAAAATGGAAGTTGAAGCAAGCCTTCTTACGCTCGAATGCTTGAAAAATTTCTAAAACTTTTATTTGCTCTAATCACGCGATTATTTGAATGCTAATTGTTTCCGTCGTTCGCCAGGTCTCTGTATAATCCCTGTAGAACAGTAAGGAACGAAACTTCAAAAGTTCGATGAACAAGAAATAGAATTTCAGGACCCTGGCAAAACTAATGCACATTTTTAATTAACAGAAATATACTCTGTTTTGCTGAGACAGGTCAATGAGGCACAATGCGATAAATTGAAATAATTCGGTGCCATGCTTCTTAAAAACTTGAATTCAACGCATAAGCAAGGACTAAGCATGCACCAATTTATTCAGCATTCATTTTCTCTGTTGTAATCTCAAATTTGCGAGCTTTCTATACTACATGTATCGTGGTTCAATAAAAAGAAAGAAATCGCCAATAGGAACGTTTCATCAGTCCTTTTCTGGTTTGGGCTGTTACAGCTGCTGTTTCACTGAAACTAGTTGCATCATTACTATCCTACTTTACAGCCAAATGCCTCATAAAATATATTGCAAAGATAGCTTTGACAATCTTCAGGAAATTACATTTCCTTGTTGTCTACTTAGTTGAAAGCAAAACCGTGCAACGTAGAATTGCACTTCGATGTAAGTCTTTTTCCCCCCGAAACCACCGGTGTTTAAGGAACTTATTGTTCCCCTGATTCACCTTACCTTCAAATTGTCAGTTCCAACTAAGCTTTCCAGACACTGCTGAGAAGCAAGTTTTCTGTAAAAACTGGTGAACTATTTAGGCGCGGCACACTCTGTCACCAGTTACAGGAGATTTCAAAACAACGCAACTGAAATCGAAGCAAGCTTGTAATATTGACCTTTTGCTGCATAAATCGTTCAATATGGGTTTCTAATTTTATTACACATCCAGTATCATATTAAATATGGTAATTATAGCGTGTTCGACTCATGCATATCCTTAAGGTTAGCATGGGGTCGTACAACAATGATACGCCACTACGATAAATCAAGTAAAACGATCGCGAAAAAGTAGGTCATCATTTAGGTCACTTTCAATCGCCAGTTTTGCAATCCTCGTAACGTTATAAAGCGCCAAAAGCTTGCCAAAGTACAGGCAAAAAATATAATAATCACATAAAAAAATCGTTACTTTGTGAATGAGAAAACGCTTTTTATTGTCTTGCTGTCTTGTTTTGATTTTCAAGCCATCTCCCGCGTGTGTTCCCAATATTTGCACAGTGCAATAAACCACCCATCTTTATCAAGCAGCCAGTGACGTAATCATCACTCAAGAGTACACCGTCTACATCATCAATTCCTTGAAGATATAACAAGCTTTGCCTAGTCCCTAGGCCTCATTTTTCCGTGCGGCCAAAACGTTTCGGGTCACGCGGTCCAAGCCAAGATGTGTTTCCCCCCCGTTCACCTAGGACACGTCAGTGAATTGACCGAGAGGGACTGAGAAAATGCCGCACAGGGACTAGGCTTGGACTACATGTAACTGGTCTAAAATTCAAATACCACTTCATTAGTGTCAGTCAACCCACACAGGACTTCACAAACCCATTACCTCGAAGACTAAAATACCTCTAGAAACAATTTAAAGAAATATTTAGGCCATTTCCTTTCATTTGTATACATTATATGGTTTTTACAATAAAAACTGAATATGATAAAGGAAGCTAACTAACAACATATTCCATTTCGGTAGATGAGAAATGTGCTTCTCGAAGTATGGCAACCAAACTTTATTTGACCATCAGACGGTTTTTTTTACGTCCATGCGTCTGATGAATTGTTTGCGTCCCTAGACGATTCAATCGAGTAGAAGTGAGCCTAAACGGCATGAGACACGTGACCTTTTTCCCGGGAGCCCAAATGTGAACGCAACTGAACTTGGACATGAGTATAAGGCCCATTCCGCGAGGATACTGGAGATGAGTTTTTTTCAAATACAGGCTAAGATATACCGTGGGGAAATGAACCCACAGTCAATTAAGGGCAGAAACAATGAGTTGATCACCACTTAAACACTCAGCAAACACAGTTCAATAAACTGACAACCGAGATATGGACCGGAAGAAGCTCAAGTAAACTTCAGCATCAGCAGTTTCCCAACAAAAGAATTAATAGCGGACGTTCAACAGAATCGTAAAAGTCACTGCAAGTAATCGATGGAAGAGAGGCTTTTAAAATAGACTCTGAATAACGAAGGGTGTTAAGGCTCTGCAGAATTATACTTTACTGACAAGTCGTCGAAGGAATTTTAAAAGACTGTTGAAAAAGCCTAAAGCAAGCGCTGATGCCATTTCAGTTGTTTGTGGGTATTGTATATGAAGGAATGTTTGTTCGTCAGCCTCGTCAGAATGTTAAAAAGTGAGTGGGTCGATCAGGGGCTTAACACTTTAAGCCCCTAAGAGTGATCAGCATCAATTTCTCCTTGTAATATCAATGCATTGTAAAACAGAGTGGTCATGAGAATTACGGACATGATCATACAAGATGAATTTGCTTGATATTTTATCAACTTCTCCCCTCTAGTTCTGTAGGAAACTGAATAGGGGCAACAAATGAGAATTCAAATTTTGATCTTAGGGGTTAAGGAGTTAAATGTGTTGACGATTGTCACCCTCCTCAGAATGTAAACAAAAAAAGTGAGTAGGTCGAAGGGGAGCTGAATGCGTTGAAGATTAATAAGTTGCTGCGATATATATTGGACTGAATGTGACCGGGCCTTCCGTTTTGGAGTATCAGGCGGCACAATCCACCAAGAATTCCTGGAAGTACCCCTCGACAAGGATACTATAGACAGAATAAAATGGAACAGCAACCCCCTCCCCACGAAATCAATGATGATCGGAAGCTTCGCGAAAGCCAAAGAGTGCCATTTGCCCATCCTTGATTTGCGAGTTGGGGGTAGGGAGGGGAGTCTAAATTTCCCTTTTCTTGTCCAAGTTTTTAACCTCTGCACGGCCGCCTCCTCCCCTCAAACAAAATCGGGGAGAGAGACAATTTTTTGTGGGGGAGGGGCGGCTGTACACAGGCTAAATCAAGGTAGGAATCGACTGATCAAGGTAAAGCAAGCGTAAACTGTTCATGCTGATAACGTCATTGTGATATTTTTGGCTGTAAATATAACTTTACGTTATAATAAAATTCTAACCTTGTTTAGATTTCCTTGGCCTCAGATTGTATGGCTTGTAACGCCTGGTAGCGTGACGAAAGAAATGACCTTCTTTCACTGATTGACTTCGAGTCATACGGTCGGTTATTTCAGTGCTTGTGCTGAATACTTTCCACTTCCTTCCTTGCTCTTTCCCTGTTGACAACAAACAAGACTCATCGAATATAAGATTTTAATATAACTTTGCCATACTAAATAAGCTAAGACAGGTTATGACAGAGTACTCGCCCACAAAAATTTTAGTTTGCTTCTGAGAGTGAAGGAATGGAGCTAAAAAAGGCTGCGGAGATGAGAAAAGACCAAATGTCCGGTGATCATCAAAGGCTTGCACTTCTGAAACAAATTTCCGGCAAATTTCACAGCCTCCTTATTAAATGACGGCAAGAAATTCACCAAAATTGGTCAAAAATGGTAAATGCGATTCTCAACGTTGGATTTGGATTCTCCTGATTTGGATGGCCCTAGTGTGTGGCATATTCATCCTTACCCTCTGAAGTACAGCAGTCTAGCGAAGTGTAAAAAACTATTAAATTCATCCAAGACAGAAATCTCCATGTTCATCTCACCTGGGACGATTGTGGGTGCCATCTTCAACAACTGTGGCGGAACGCGTGACTGCGTGACGAGTATAAACTCTCACCCATTTACTTCTTTATCGTTCTTTTTGTATCGTCACGCCAAGTTCCTGTTGCGTGACGACACAATAGGGCGGAGGGTATGGGGGTCCAATGACTTATCTTAGGGATTTCAGCAGAGTTTGCAGGTGTTTTCTCAGCAGAGCTTCTGTTGTCAACGGCTACAACCCCTCATTGTTTCGGTTCTATCGCTTTCATACTTTTTGCGTAGTACGATGAGAGGCTGTCACGGTGTTATATACTTTAAATCACGCAACAACGTACTTCATACCTTCCCGTTTAGCCCATCCTCGGAGACCCAGCGGCAGTTAGTCGGGTCGATAAAATGTTCGTGGTGAAAGTTTAATTTACTGTAAGATCGAGACGAGCCCCTGGGCACTTACTCTTACCGAACCAGTTCCAGAAGCGTTTGAATTGCCTGCTTCTGATTGGCCAGAAAAATTTTTTTCTGGCCAATCAGCGAAGAGAAGCTGCCGGGTGACTCTCGTGTTTTCTTACACGACGTAGTTTTCCTCATCGATCGCCATAGTTGCGTAGAGCGTTCAACGGGGAAAGTTTCTCGAGGAAAGTTTCAGAACAAAATGTTAACAACCCGCAAAATTGCAACCTTTAGCACGGCTACAAGAAACACTCTTTGATGAATTTTTAGGGCGGATCTTTCCAAGGTATCGCAAATTTTTATTGCTGATACGATACGCGATGCATGACTTTCACTTTCCACACCTTAATTTGCTCACATTGTCTAGTATACAACGCCAAGCTTACATTTTAGATGTCCATGTTCGTTGCACGACTTCTGAAACTTTCTACAGCGTGAAAATTTCCGTTGCACGGGCCACGCAACTACGTCGATTGATTGTGGGAAATGCCGGCTAGCAGCAGTTGACCGTACGAATTCTGCCGAAGTTGATAGTAGTGTTAACTTTAGATTCGATGGAGACCTCCTGCAAGCGCTTGAAGAATTAGAAGGCTTGTCTTTGTTTCCTGTGGTACAGTTCAAAGCGAAGCAAAGATTTATTATTGAGAAGATTGTGAAAAGAAGAGATGTTTTGGGGCAATTGATAGAAGGGTCTAACCTTCCGAGTCTTCCAAATGTTGGCTATAAGGTATGGGGTTTAAAAATCGTTAGATGCTAAAGGTTATGACTTCCCTAGTAATCCATTGGTCATAGTGATTTCACCTCTCATGTCAATTGTTGAGGACCGGGTAGAGTACTCGAGGTCACTAGGAATTCAGGCCGCTTTCGCTTTTTAGCTGATGAAGTAAGCCTTGTGACTGCTTAAGATAATAGTGCAATTGAACATTTACATATTATAAATGGAAAAACACCCCATAATACAGAACTACAGATGCCATTACATTAATTTTATTTTTAAGCTGTAGAGATTTTTTTTAAATTTTTTATTGGAGTTCACATGTCTACTTATAATACTGCTTGAGTTATGTATATACTAGGGAGCTGTAATATTTTATTTTATTTTAATTTGTTAATAAACATTTATGCTGGGGTATTTGTTGGTGATTCTTTCTGTTCCAAAGGGTTTGTTTTACTAGGTGGCCAACAAGTATACTTGAGTATATCATTTGAAAACTGTCTAGAAAAATGGGGTGTGCATTATATTCGGGTGCAAATTATACACAAGTAAATATGGTATACCTACACATAACATACAAAAACTGTTTTCCAACACTCTCTGGAAGAAAGGGAACTGTGCTGAAATTGTCTCTTACTGCTTTCCATAATTCTAAAAGTCTTTCTTCTTTTAGATTTTATTAATTGTACAACCTGCAGAAGAGAAAAACTCCTTCCTTTTTTGATGACAGTAATGAAAACAGCAGAATCATTCCAAGCCACTTATGTTGCAACATCAGTGCCAAAGACTGTTAGTCTCCTTAAAGAAAATCAAAATGATCTGTGACAGGAATTTCAAGAATCAAATCTTCACTGCTTGTATTCTAGAATTTGTATTCTCTGATTGTCTTCTACAGGAAACAGTAATTGATAATTGTAATAAATTATGTTCTGTGGAAAGTATTTTAGAGACACTGTGTGGAATGGTGACCATGCAATGAAGATTTTTACCTTTCTGAGGAGGGTGTTTAAAGATTTAAAAATAATTGTCAATGAAGAATATTATTGTCAGATGAAGAGAATTATGATAGGGAAGTTATGAAATATCAAACAAATGCACGGAAGGAAAATTGTTAATATTGCAGCATCATTTTTTCAAGATAAGTCCAATCTTGTAGATTCAATTCCAAGGGAGTTAAAACAATGGCACTGTGGATGTGTTTGAGGGGGTCAGTAAGGGGAAACATCAAGTCAATCATCGATAAATAGTTTGGCAAAAAAATCACATATTATGTAAAATTACTTTTATCCATGTATTTGCTAGAAGATATCTTATAATGAAAATTCATTTCTACTATATTAGCAATAATTCTAATCACAGTGAAGATTAACCCAGGTTCTCTTATGCGGTTTAGTAAGCCAGAGACCCAGGTCCTCTAAATCAAGAGCTGAAGTTGGATCTTTGGAATTCCTTGGTCTCTTCTCCCTAGAATTTCCTTAAGAGCGTTCACTTCTTGTAAAGTTTTAGTGATTACAAAAATATCTATATAGACATCCCACCCTTCCACGATTTCTCAACTCAGTACCTACACGTGTCACACACTGCGCGTTTATCGCCCTCCAAAACTTTCACACCAACCACTTTCAAACAGTTTCACAAACTCACCTTTATTTTTTTTCTTCACTTATCCGTAAAAATAAACCCACACAGCCTGCAAAAATCGACCTCAATTAACAAGTCAGGATTCAGCACATAACCGGACCGAGCTGTGGAACTAAACATAACGGCTGTATTTAAAGTACGAACGGAAAGGGAGTTTGGCGCGAAAGCAAGAAGGTGCGTGCACTGCAGCAAGCCAGCAATTCCCACGATCAATCGACGTAGTTGCGTGGCCCGTGCAACGGACATTTTCACGCTGTAGAAAGTTTCAGAAGTCCTGCAACGAACATGGACATCTAAAAAGCAAGCATCGCGTTGTATACTAGACAATGTGAGCAAATTAAGGTGTGGAAAGTGAAAGTCATGCATCGCGTATCGTATCAGCAATAAAAATTTACGATTCCTTGGAAAGATCCGCCCTAAAAATTCATCGGAGAGTGTTTGTTTCTTGTAGCCGTGCTAAAGGTTGCAATTTTGCGGGTTGTTAACATTTTGTTCTGAAACTTTCGTCGAGAAACTTTCCCCGTTGAACGCGCTACGCAACTATGGCGATCGAGATGAGGAAAACTACGTCGTGTAAGAAAACACGAGAGTCACCCGGCAGCTTCTCTTCGCTGATTGGCCAGAAAAAATTTTTTCTGGCCAATCAGAAGCAGGCAATTCAAACGCTTCTGGAACTGGTTCGGTAAGACTAAGTGCCCAGGGGCTCGTCTCGATCTTACAGTAAACTTTCACCACGAACATTTTATCGACCCGACTAACTGCCCCTGGGTCTCCGAGGATGCGTTTAGCCTGAATTTCAGACGATTACTTCGAGTCGTTTTCTCCTCTGAGCAACGTCGTTACTGAGGGAGTAAAAACGACTGAAATTCAGGCTACTTCCCGTTACGTTTAAATCAGGTTGCTACTCCAACTACTTCATAGAACCGAAAAACATAGAATGGACATTTTACAGTCACATAAGATAAGACATTGATAGCAGAAATACACTACATTTACCTTAGAAGACAACTGAAGCAAACAACAGGTGCCGTATATCTCCTCCTCCCAAACCGTCCCCCGCAATCTAAGATGAGATAGTCATCTTCAAGCTAGACTTTGTCAAGATAGCCGCATCCACCGCTCGTTCTCGACGATCTTACGCAAAAATGAGGGACTGTGAATCGTCTACGCCAAAGACTGAGGAATCCTCCAACCTCTGGTAAACTCTCCCTTCTAATAATATCCCAGCCTAAGGCTGAATCAACACTGAGTACGCCTCCAGCCTCAATAAAAATTCAGCCGGGCCTTGAGTCGCATGAGACAAACTAAGCAAAAAAGTGCAAAAGGTTTGTTGAGTCACGTGACGTTTCCCTTGGCACATCACAGTTTCGAATAGTTACTTGACGTCCCTAATACCAGAACAAGTTCACTAGGCTAAAGGGTGGGAAGGAAAGGGACTAACATAATACCAATCTTGTACCCAGAGTCTTCTGACTTTTTGGTCAGCGGGGCAAAATGCCAGAAGACTCTGGGTCAAGATTGAGGTGTCGATTGAGGTAATACTTGTAAGACGCTTTCTGAAAACAGCCTTGAGTTGCATCATGGGAATCTTATAACATAGGATGTAGTAAAGAAATCAGATTTTACCATGTGGGTTAGAGCGCATTCTACACGACAGACAACCAACTTATGACGTTTTGAAATTTTAGAGAGTTTATTTCACCCATTGATATTAAAAATAGAAGACAATCTTTTTTCTTTGGATTCTGCTCTTACATACAGAAACTCGAATATAACAAGTTTTAAAAGTCACCATTCATAACCTTTTCAAGGAATTGCTAATCGAAATTTCACCAAAATTTGAATTCAGAGTAAAGATTATAAAACCCTTGTTATATACATCTACAAATGCACTAAAGCTTTTTTACAGGTATTAGATTCCGATTAACCATCTGTTGTTTATCTTGAATTGCATAATTTATAAATGTTACAGAAGGTAAATTCAGAATCAAGTATTAATTTATCAATGATATATTATTCATTCATATGACATCACACTTATAGAAATACCTTATAAAGCTTCATAGAACCGGAACATAACGTTAAAACGATTTACAAATATACACCAATTTACAATTGATAAATAGCTCTTGCTTAGCTAATGTACAGAGTAGATAGCAGAATCCAATGTATATTTTAACGCATTTTACATATTTTTTTGAACATTTTCAATATTTTGAGATTTTTCTGCGGTATTTCACCTTTCCATCCCATATTATACAATAATGGCTATTCAGAGCACTTAGTTGATGTAGAAATATAGAAACATAACCAACGGTGAAATTTCAAGTAAAGTAGTATAAAATTTATAACTTTTATTACCCCCAAAGCGATGCGTCAGGCAAATGTGGATTCTAATTTTTAAATCAAAGGCAAAATGTCGAGTATAAATAGTGATAGCGAGTTTTGTTCTTTTTAGGGATCTTTGAAACTTATTTTGCTTTCGTTTTAAATAGGCTCGCTGGTTTTGCCCTCCGCCTTTAATTTTAAGACGACAAATGGTTTGGAAGTATGTGAACTTTATGAGGAGCTACACAATTTAGCTATTTTAGCTAGTCAATTGATTCATCCATTTTAGGAAAAGTTAATTAACTCATCTCACGAAAGAAATATCTGAACTTCTGTATGTTTGTACTTTGTTTGTGTCAGCGTGCGCGGTGAATATAGTAAAAATGGCCATGTAAATCTCCTCCATTTGTCCTTTGATATCTAAGACCATTCTGGAGGGAACACAGGGCTGGTGTCAGCGGAGGAATAAGACGTAAACGCGTTCACCCCTCCCCCCAAACAATCTGACTGAAACTGAAACTGATTCTCGCCGTTAATTGAAGTGGTCCGTTTCTTGCCGTTTTTGACCGGAAGTGTCGCGTTTTCATTCATGGCGTCCGCCAATGTCTCGACAAGTTGCTCCTCCTTGTCTTCAAACATCTCGTTATTTACCCCGGGCCATGGTTCCGTCAAACTTCCGGGACCGTTGTCGACAATGAGCGGCATGCTTCCGCCGAGATTCGGTGACGCGTACCCAGTGAATGCGTACCGACTTAACGGAGTGGGAACTGGATCCGAGCGCACCGGCTGGAGCCGCAAGCTCTGTAAATCGAGCTCTTCAGAGTAAAGGTCCATGGCATGGACATCCCTGTTGTGAGCTGTGATAGTGGCCCCGTTTCCAAAACTCCCAGATCGTGAGTCCCCTAGGCTGTGTGTGGAAGAAGCTGAAGAGGAGCCGGGTGGTTGGTAGGTCTTGAAGGCAAACTGAGGCCCCATCCAGAGCCGTCTGTGCGGGGCAGCGTGAGTTTCCATTTCAATATTCGCCAACCACTGATCGTCAGCTGTGCAACCATCATAGTTAGCTTCTTGTTTGGATGTGAACGTAAAGAATGATTCACTCTCCAAGGCAATTTTCTTTCCTGAAGCAATAAAAGAATTGCAATGTGACAAGTCAAAATTCAAGAACAGTATTTACTTTTACCAAACCCGCATAACAAATAACAGATGAGACGGTCTCAAAATAATGGTTACTGAAGGTTTCATTTGAATAGTCACACCGCAAAGCAGGATTTTATAAACACGGCACCCAATCACATCATCCCTTGGTCACCAGATCCCAATGTTGTCAGGATCAGAACAAGATTCTAGTGCACCGTCCACCTACCCTTCCCTTAATCAAACGTTAACACTAAGGTCTTATTTAGGGCAAAATGTTGCGTTAGGTGGGCAGTTTCCCCAGAATGTTATCAAAAGCTGACCAGCTACCCTTCCCTTAACCAAACATTAACACTAAGTTCTTATCTAGGACAAAATATTGGGTTAGGGGAGGAGTAGGTATAAGCAGTTTCCGCAGAATCTTAGAAAGATGCGGGTGTCACGACCAAAACAATTGTCGCTCACCATCTTTTTCAGTGCGGCCATTGTGGTCGCTTGGATTCATTTTCAGTCGCCTCAGTAGCAGCGAAAGGTCTCTAACGACGGGACTCTTGCTTTCTGGCCAACTTGAGCACCTGAAACAATGAAATAAAACTCACAGTGTAATTAGCTACACTTGGTGCGCACTGTCCGCGCTATTTTCATATTAGGCTGATTTAGCAAGCTGGAACGTCAGTTGACGACGGCGCGCGCAAATCAAACAACTGGCTTGACCACTGGAAGTAGAGTTTAAACGTTTCCGCGCGCTTTCCCGTCGTCAAATGACTTTCCCGTTCTTTTGCTAAATTAGCCTACTTTTAAGATGACGAAAAAATACTCGTGTCACGAGTTCCCACCCCAGTTTGAAGCTCAGTTTTTCAAAGCGGCTTTCCCAATTTACTGTGAGAAGTATGTACTACTTAACATGAAACAAATTCTCGAACACGAACGTGCTACAACTTTCCCAAACTTGTTCAGTGAGAACTAGTTTTATATTGTATATTGTTTGGAAACAGGTTATTTTCTCCAACAAAGGGAAAATATTCGCCACTTTTACAAAGCCCACAATACACCTTCACCCTCAAAAGAAGTATTTACGGAAAACGAGGGTTCTGCAAAACCGCCTTCGAAGGGAAAACAAGGTATATTAAGAGTAGCGTGAAAGAGGGCGAATATTTGGTACTAAGCTGCTTACCTGGTTAGGGTCCACTGGGCTCTCGATGTGGTGGTAAGCTCCAAGGGCGTGTCATCACTTTTCAGGGTAGTTTTAACCCCATGTGGTTCAAGTACATACTCTGTTAAGTTACCGTGAAGATCCAGTATGTATAGCGAATCAGCGGCTGAAGACTTGCTTGGGTCTACGAAACAAAATGATGATAAAAAAGTGACACAACGATTATTACCTAGTGTAACCGCATCTTGTTCGCAAGTTGCGTTGCAAAGTCGCCCGAAGACTGGGAAGCCCGCAGTTGTATTGCTTGTGTTCTTATGTAATCGATGCCTTTGCATTCGTTGGTATAAAGGAAAAGGTATTTATTACCCCCAATTCAAGACCTTGTTACTTCACAACTATATTTACTGTGAACCTCGCCAAACCGTGGACAACAGAAATATTTCTGGAACGGAATTGATTGTGATGCAAGGGAAGAACCAATCAGTCGTGGGAAAACTACAGGAGGCCCAAGCTCTGTTTGCGAGTATTTGTCTTCTGAATCTATCACCAGGACGCCCATTTATTTAAAATCCTTTATGTTCACGGTCATTTTGAGATTACGCAATTTCTTTACCACTTGTAACTCTTACACAGAGCGTGGGTCGCTTGCTGGCATGTCCTGATATTCACTGTGATTGGACATAAAACAATAAACATTTCTTTTTTATTCCTAAAATATTGCAGGTGTTTATGGTTTTCTTACTAAATTTGACAGTAAGTAGAGTAAGTTGTGCTATCACTATATACTGAGCTTGGTTGAGCTTGCAGTGTCAAAAGACTCACATGCCTACCTGATCTTGTAATGTTTGGACTCCCTCCTAGCCATCCCCTGGAGGGGGCAAACGTCATCGCCACCCCCGTCGAATATTCCAGACCAACTCGGCCATTACACTTGTTTGAGAGCTGGGAAGAGCCCGTACAACAGGGTCCACTACATCGGGGACCAGTGGGTGTCCTTATCTGCGCTAGAGGGTGTGTTACGTAAGAGTGAGGAAGAGGAGGCAATCGGGGATTCACTAGGCCATTGTTACTCGAAGCAAGGTTCAAAGAATCTCTGGATATTGCTGTGCCTGTGGAGCTTAGCGGGCTCCCATTAGGCGAACATGACACGTTCGGAACTGTCCCATTACACGGACTGTGCCTGCCAGTAGGCGTAGAGGCTTGGTCCAGGTCATCTAATCCAGCGCTCGTGTGAAAGCGACTGCTTCGGTTAACCACGCGTGGAGAGGAATGTGTTCGAACTGTTATGGGCCCTAAAAGGAAAATAGAACGTTTACAAGACATCCCGCAGCTCGTGTAAGGGAAGTGGTTTCACTTCAATGGCTTTCACCTTGTCAAAATTTATACGTTTGGTTGCAACGTACCTCCGTACGGTGTAATAGGAAATACATGGACAGTTCCACGCACAGTCGATGCGGCAACCCACCGGCTGTCGAACGAAAATGCTAGACCGTGCACCTGAAAATTAAACAAGCCGCAAAATAATGTTTTAAGGGATAAACAAAAAAGAAGGAATCTTTGCAAGCTTACCCTTCGAAAATAGAGCTAATTTTCATAGTTAATCACAAGACGCAGACGCTGGAAAAAGTATCTTCCGCTACGCACCCCTGATGGTCCTTATGGAGGTTTCCGTTTATCGCACAAAGCAGGGCGAGAAAATACGATAAAAGATCATAAAATAGTCTATAGATGGAGTTAAATGGGGTTGTCCACGGAGTAACAAGAAGCCCTTTAACAAATGACGACCTAACAAATTCATCCTGATTTCCCCCGCCCACCACCACCACCCCACACCAGTAACATCCTCAAAAGCCGTTGGTCAGCGGGAATTCACATCAATTTAGCATTTAAAAAATGGCGCCTGTTTTATCGAGCAAAACGTGGCCGTGTTTTTGGACCTAAAAACGACTCGGAAATCTCACATTCTTCGACTCACTTTCGCGCTATAACAAGCGACAAAGCAGTAGACTTACAGTAGCAGTCGTATCTCCTCTGTGAAGCGTGTAAAGATGATGTATGGCACTCAGTGATGGGCAAATAGGGTGGGGAAGAACATGGAACACGTGAAAATTATGGCCAAGAACATCAGCAGTCAGGAGTAGAGAGCCACTAAATATAATGCAAAGCAGGTGAGTCAGTTTAAGGTTGTTAGAGAATTGAGAGTAAAACTTTCTTGAAAATTTCGCTGCCTGCACAAATGCAAAGCGCTCATATAAAAATGTTTGAAACCAGTAAGTTAAAGTGGCGAGTTTTATTCCAGGGTTTTATTCGAATTCTGCAATGTAACAAGAACTAAACAGCACAATAATCGAGACTCCATATTTTTAATGGTCATTAAACAGGGTTTTACAGGCTTTAGCTACGGCATTCTCCCACGCAGGCGTTTCTTTTTCCGTAACATATAAGCCTGTTGTGTGACCATACAAAGAACGGGTAAAATTACAAGTGAAAAACACGCATTCCGAGTAGCTTTTGAGGGACCAATAATTTCTGATAATTTATAGGGGAGGTACCCTCTTAGGGGAAGTACGATGTGAAACAATGAGAGACAACTGAATTCGCAGGCGAACGGAAGAGGAACGGCCTACAACTCATGATCAACAGCAATGTAGCAATTACAAGTCATCTATTTGGCCATAGTTAGAGATTTGGCTGAATGCTTTTTAAAGTGACCCCAGTTAGTGTATTCGTCGTTATGTACATTTATGCCCTGAGGAAAGCCTAGACAAAGACTAAAATCGATTTTTTTTTTCACTTGTTAGAACGTATTTGATCATCTTTGGCACTGGTATGCATCCACGAAAAACGTCATACTTAAAAATGCGCTCATGATTTACAAATGTGTCTCAAGCCTACAAAGGAGGTGCACTCAGGGAGCACACAAATCCTCAGTCAAACAGCAGTCTGGATTCAGGCAGGAGTGAAGGTTGAAGGGTAAGGAATAATTTATTTTGTCCCCACCTATCTCCACTGTATTCCTCTGAACTATTGCTATTTTTTAAAGCTCTTTTTACAGGATGGGTGGGAGGGGGGATTTGTACCTGGGATCAAAGGACATAGCAGAGAGGGGCTGTCCAGCATGGGCTGGAAAATGGGCCACTATACCAGCACCATCATGATCATCCTCTTGTACACAAAACTGTGGAATAAATTTTAATATAGTCAATACTTTAGACAAGACTTACGTCGTAAGATAATTGAAGGGAGCCCTGTGCCCTGAACTTGTAGAATCCAGGGTGCCCAGCATGTGATTTGTGTGAAAAATGAAGATTTTGTAGTCGCCCAGGAGCAAAGGGCTACAAGATGATGTTAGAGCACAGCCTTGATATATAACCAGTCACATTTCTTAGTGTGTAAATTTTATACACTATAACACATAAGTTCCTTACTGGTATACAAAGAAAGGCCCTCACACTAAGTGTAAAAGATTCCAAAATACCAAATTAAATGATAAGGTGAATAAGAGAGAATTCCTTTACCGAATAAAATGAGAATGGGATAGACTACAGTATTGAACTATTACAAGGTTGATGGGAGTGAATATTGTCTGCCTTGTACAAATTCTAAAGTCTTCTTTCCTTACCTCTCCACTGCCAAGTTTCATTGTGTCTATTATCGTAACAACCCCCGATCTGATAACTGATTTCTTCTGAAAAAATAAAGAGCAAATAACAGAAAAATCAAAATTCAAATAAATCTGACTCCATTAAAATAGCAAAGTAAGTTATAAGAAGGGGTATGTCCCAGTTTTTTTTTTATGATTGCCTTAGGAATATCTGTTTACGCCACTAGGCCAGGTTTAAAACATTGTACAAAAATTCACTACACGAATTCTACATCTGAATTACAGCATCAGTTTGGTGTCCATAGGGGCATGTAATAATACATAAGAATGAAAATGTCATCATTTTTCATTACTTGGTTTCCATAATCCTGCAACATTTCAGTTCCAGTCCAGCGACCTACTGTTTCACCTAAAAGAAAACAAATGTATGAACAACGTCAGCAACAATACATCATTATGGTATCAACTTCAGTCACACATAAACACTCCTATAAAAATAATGAACATAATAAGGGTTGTCACTAAGGTTTCAAGTTGCTGGGAGAATACAACAAGTAGACGGGGAATCAGACAGCTTGGGGTTTCTTTTGGTTCCATTTTCCTTCTATTTTCTTTTAAAGGAAGCCGGGGGCCATGTTTATCCCTGGCCCCCACCTCTTAATGATAGCTCTGAATAATATTATTGTTTTGTTCTTAATAAACAATATTGTAGTTATTAATTATCATTATCTCTTACCAAACATTGTGAGGCCTCTGGTAAGGGTCTGAAAATAGGATTTAAAAAATCATGTTAATCCAAATGCATTTTGTACAGTCACCTGTAAGTGCAGGAAAATGAACTCAAGGCAGAGGAATAAACTGGGCTCAGTCTGCATCACAAGAACAATTGACACTCTAAGAAATTATCAATGAATAACATATACCTTAGCAGCATTAATTACTGTGGCTGTGTATGAAAGGGAATTGTCTCCACAAACTCCACCACAGGACTGGTGATTTGGAACCAGCTAAAGAAAATACATGCATAGACAGGTCACTCAAAAGACTGACAGTAACATAATGGTACATGTACACACACAAGCTGAAGAATGTGTAAAGCTACACATAACAGTCAAATTTACTGTCTACATGTACCGTACATCCCTTTGCTCGCAATTACAGCACTGTAGTCAGTGTGCATTATACATTAATTTGTCAAGCTGGAGGAAATTTCTAACCTTATGCTTTCTGATTGGAAATATCAACTTCATGTAAATTAGGGATCTACATTGCCTCCCTCTTAAGAAAACTTCATTTGAGCCATTGTCAAAGTTATTCAAGATGATGCTGGAGTGGAAATAGCATAAACTGAGAAAAGTTGAACACCTCTCTAAGGGGGATGGAGAACTTTGAATAATATCACTGGCCATGTTAAGTTTTGGTTGATCAACAAAGTGTTGTACCTCTTATTCAACAAAAATTGTCACATGATGGGTGTATCATGCCTGCATGTTGAATGTTGAAATAGGCCACTCAACAGGTTGATTTTCATTAACAATTTGAGAATTCCATCTTCAATATTATAATTAGCTCCAAACTGTTAAACAATTCAACAGAACATCTTTCAATGATGCTGAATTTGTTTTCCTCTCACTAAATTAAACAAGCTCTAATTATCATTGGCTTTAGGTCCACTAATTACACACAAGAGAAAATTTTGACACTGACAAAAATGAACAGCTCTCTTTTGCACATCTTTAAAATCCACAAACCTTGCGGTCAGCATATGCCAGCCATCTAGTTCCCAGTGCTAATGGGTTAAGATTGGGGCTCGGAGCTGGGTAACAACCTGAGAAAAATATACGGTGCATCAAGATAACTGTAAAGAACTAAACAACTTGACTATTAGCAGTTTGATCACACTAGAAGTACCACCATTACTACTGTTTAAAATCTTATTTTTCAAGTTAAACTTAATACTATCAAGTGATAGGGCAGCCTGTGTGACTATAAATATAGACAGTGCCAGAGTTGACTTTTGTGCAATGATCATTTCTGGCTTAACAACATTACAGTAACTGTAACTGTAGGAAGCAAGGTCAGTTTCATTTATCTTAGCTCAAGAGTTCTGTACTTTATAAAATACTCACTAGTAATGCAGAAACAGCTTTTGAAAGTGCAAGTGTCAAAGGCAGCTATCTTTTCCTGCAAAGCCACAACCATCAATCTGGAAAATTGTAAATACATAGACATTGGAACAAATATTAATTTATCTCAAAATTAAAATCACAAGGGCACTAAAATTCCACAGTGCATAATACGTCAATGAGTTACAAAATGGAACATAACTACCTCTACAAAACCTAGAAAAACAATATTTTAGTGAGAAGTAGCATCAAGGGCTACAGTATTGTTCTATTGTTTAGAATTGACCTGGCACATAAATCTTACACTTTACATAAGACTTTATTTGCAAGTATCATCTAGGGGGGGGATTTCCAGTGATGTAAAGGTGATAGACAATAGACAATCATTGCTCCTCCAACTCATAATCTACATAGTTGTAAACGATCAAAAGGGTGAGATGAACATTAATAATATTTTAAAAACTTTCTTGCCCAAGGGCAAGCAGTTGCTGAAATTTTCTAGCCTGGAGCAGTCCTGCTAACCTGAGATCAGGCTCAGTTTTCCTTTCGCTTTGTAATAACATTCCAGGGGGCAAGGCAAAACGAAAGCAATTTTAGCTGTAGCCGTTAGAGAGAATGTATGAGAACCGCTAAAATTGGGCCTGATCTCAGGTTACAGTCGTGCTAGCCTCAGTCACAACTCCACTTTTCACTGACACTCACTTTATCTTGACAAAATATTGTTGCTTGCCCATGCATTATCGGACAACTCCTCCCGCTGGGTCATTCCACTAGCCATGGGCTATGCAACAACAATGTTGTAATGTCTTGGTCCTGATCCATGAGTAGTCAATGCTTGAATGTCTAAAAAGCTGTTTTGCAGCAGCTTTTTGCGCCATATTCACAACTTTGTTTAATTGTACCGGTATAATATAGACAAAATTTTGATTTTCAAAGATGGCATAGAACTAACCTTCGGTTACACAGTACATCATACACCTCAGACTTAAACCCAATGGAGTGAACCTGTTCACCAGTAGCGAGTGACCACAGATTAACTGTGGAGAATGGCAAAGAGGGACTGCAAAAACAAGGGTACAACGATCAACCTCAGCTAATGAGGACAGCTCAATAGCCCTGAGTGTACAAAAATATTAGCACTGCCATACAATTAATAACATAATACACATAACTATGACTGTTAATAAGGTCACCAAGGAGCCCAAAAAAACTTAGCCATAATAACCAGGGTTTCTTTACAAGAAAATGTACAGTCATTTTTGCCAGGAGGCCAAAAAAAGTGGCCATAATAACGAGGTGACTGTATTACCGAGGTGGCCGTAAGTCAGGGTTCCACCGTACACCACCTACTTTTATTGTAGGTGATGGATGTTTGTAGGTTAGTGGGTGTTTTGAAAAGTCTTATATAGTTTCCCTTGCCCCATTCCTCCCTTGCAGTCAAGAGTTTCATCTCAAGTTGCTGGTTTGCTACTCGGAACACCAGAGGGATGGTTTTTCACCTTGGGTTTGGCCATGTGGATTTAGCCTTCGAACATCCGGGCAATGTAGAGGGTTAAAATTAATTGACGTTTATTATTATTTATTCTATTGTACATGGCATCTAAATGGATGTTAAAAAATGGGATCATTCATCACAGGTACACTGTAACAATACTGGAATTCCTGCTTAGTACATGGGCTACTACCTCAGCAAGCACAGAAAGCAACTAACCTGGCAGCATCGCATGCAGCAAAGAGAGGTCTTGAAACTGCAAACTCATCCTTGGACTTTGCACCTTTAAACATTATTGCATACAAGGTTAGCCTTTTCTTCTAGACCAATAATTTATATCATAATAGCAAAACCAACAAGGGTGACACACTACACAAATAACACTGAACAACGGCAATATACCTTTACAGTAATTAATATGTAAGCAGCAATAACAGCTGCCTGTATATGTAACTTAAGTTTTCAAGTCTCCACTAACAATACAAGCACATATAAAACCACTAATCAGAAGAGCAGCACAGTGAATGAAATTCCCCTCAAAAAGATGCACTGCACATGGCTTTCACCATGGAATCTAAAACATGCATGATAAGCTGGGACCAATGTGTTTTCACCTTGGGTGTGATGTAAAACACAATGGTAAGCTAGTGTGAGACATTAATATTCCTAATGTGTGTAACCACAGTGACACTGCAGTAGTTGCACAATAATTGTCAATAGTAACTGTCTCACCTTCTTGTGGAGTCTTGAGCATGCGCACAAGCCTGACCGGACCCTGGCGAAGAGACAGTACTTCCTGGGCTTCACCTGTTGACTGCAAAAAAAAACAAACAAAACAAGAAAGCTAGAATTCTTGCACCAGGTTTACAATTTTTCTTTGACTGAAGAGTATACACCATCCACACTGCTTACTACAGTGTATTAACCACATAAAGTGCGTTAACAAAATTGCCAAGAAATGAAATACAGAATGTATGAATTGTAGAAATCAGCGGGCAGATAGAAAAGATGTACAAAAATGTCTAAAGGCAAGTCAGAGGGGGGTTTAAAGACAACTTCAATATTATTACAGAACCAATACCTCAATTCACACCTAAACCTTAAAAAGTTTCAATATGCTTAGAATGAGCTTTTTCACTACGTTTCAGTCATACTAACATCAGAATTGTGCCCAAACTGCACTTTTAATTGACACATCTAAAAAGGACATCATACTTTTCAATGATGACAGTAATAAAGTTGTTGATCATCAATATTAAAAGGTTTTTCTCCCAAGTTCTTCTTCTCCACATTTCCAAAATTCCGAAAGTCACATTTCCAAATTTTATTTCCTTCTGGGATGAGTATGACAGTTATTGGCTGAACGTGGTTATACATGTACATGTATGCTTCCCTCATAGAGCCACATAAAAAATTAATAAATTTAAAGTTATATCTTAACTGACTTACTGGGATAGTCCACACATGAAATCCATTTGTGTAACCAAGGATTAACAGTAGTGGCAAAGTCAGTCCTGATGAAACATCCTCCTGATGAACTGTGTTATCTACGTGTGCAAAAAATAATAACTCCATGACATTGGACAGATCTCCAGTGTACATGTATAAGGGGCAAGCAGAAACTTGCCGCAGCTTTTCCTTAACAGTTTTAATTTGTGATAGATCAACACAAATAAACTATGTTATAGTAAGAATATGTATAACTATTGTAATTCAAAGAAAAACATAGCTGGTTGTTTATTAAATACAGTGAGGGTATGACAGCTTGGAATTTTTTATAACAATGACTGTTGTAGCAACTTTACAAGTAAAATTCACTTTAAACAAAACATTCAGGTCCCAGTAATCCTAAACTGCTTGCAGTCCAGCTCTCCTTTAGGTTCATCGAGTTCTTTGACAGTGAAAGCATAGGGACAAAAAACACCTGCGTAGGCTACCCAAGCGACTATGGTAATCCATTCGGAAGTTGCAAAATTGACTAAAGTGTGGACTAAACCGTTGCAAATTGTGCGATTTGTTTCCCTACCATTAATGTCTGCCTCCTCAAACTTCACCCATAACACTTTCTCCTTATCCTCCTGCTTTTGACCTCCAGTTACAGCCTGAATGTCAAGTAAAAAATGTTCAGTGTTGTAATGGAGCTGTATAAATTGTACACCTACCCAGAAGAACTGCATCAACCTTGATAAGTCACAGACAACAGTTCTGTCAATTATTTCTTTGCTTTACTACTCTGAGTCATAAAAACAGTATTTAAAGCTCATGACATTATTTATTTATTTATTTACCAATACAGCAAACCTTTAGAAAGAGTATACTATTATTAGCCAGTGTGGTCAACAACAACAACAACAACAACAACAAAAGAAACAAAACAAAACCGCTGACCACCCCTGAAACATACAGTGTATGAGTTGCTATTTAACTTTACAAACAGTTTATTGGGTCTACAAAAGGTTTTGTTGGATACAGGATTTTACATTACAGTCAACTCCCTTAATAGGTAGGGACCTCAAGTTAGCGTCCTCCTTAGCAAGAGACTGTAATAGCAGGAGTTTATTTCAGTCAAACTTGCGGGATTTAGTTGCTGTTCATATTATCGGGTGTCAGCAAGACAAGAGTTGACTGTATTTGAAGTTAGGGATTTGTTGTATTAAGGTTGTCATAAAAAAATTTAAAATTGCTTATTGCTACCAAGTACTTGAATTTTGTAAAGATATTTAGAAGATCAAAAATGTACTTAAAAAAGATGCCTGGGTAAGATGTGAGGATTTCAACTTTCCCACAACACAAATGGTACATCACCTTTCTAGAATGAACAGTGCTCCCTCCCCCTCATGTACATGTATGTTATGCTCCAAAAACCCTTTTTAAAAACTTTCCCAAGACATCCCTCCTTGATCTTTCATAAATTTTTGTTCAAATATTTTCCCACACATCTGTGTCCCAGGGTGGTACAGTGATCTTGTGTGGAACTAGCATACTATCTATGGGGAAGGAACAATGCCATCTAGTTCCTGTACAATGACGAAACCAAGGTCAAGTTAAACATTTAGGGGTACCTCTAGCTTGCCAAAGAAATCAGAACAGAAAAGAGAACAATTTAAATACTGAGCCCTTTTGGATCACTTGCACATCAGAATAAGTCACATAGTCCAAGATATTTATAAAGCAAACAAGGCCAATCATTTTCAGGAATTTTGAATTTAAAATTGACATTTTTTCCAGACACAAATTCTAGCCCTAACTCAAACATCAAAATAATATTATTAATTTTAAACAATATGAAATACATGAGAAGACTTTTTTCATCTCAAGTAGTAGATTTGGTTGAATCAACAGGCATATGCTTGTTTCTCGGATCAGCCAAAACATGATTAAGCTTTGGGTATTCAAATATTTGGTGCCTAAACCAGGCTTTGGCCAGTTTTGCTTATGTTATAGTCAAAATGGTAAGTAACTTTCTTTTTCAAATCAGGAGCAAATTTCAAAGTTGGTGTCTCAATACTATTAGGTAATGTTCTTGTTTTCATTTGAATCTAACATGTTGTTAAATATTAATATTGTGACTTGACACAATTTACATCCTCAAATCTCGCATTTATTACCAACAGCTGATAACATTTTGGGGCCCAATCAAACTGATAGTATTTTATTGCCAAGTTGACTGTAAAATAACATCAGCTGAAATTGACTTAAGCAAATTTATGTGAAATTGTTTTTTTGAAAAAAACATAGCTGTTGAAATGCAAGTTATGCTTTGATGTTATTGTACATACTCTGACCAAGTTTAAGTGGTTATCAAATGGAAATTAAATTCTTGTGACAGCGAGAAAATATGCAGATAAGCAAAGCTTCCGATCCTGTCACGTAATAGGCTAGCCTCGTCACGAGCTTAACACAAGGAAAAACAAGATCAACACAAGGAAAAACTCGTTTCTTGAAAATGTGGTTTCAAGTAGTTATTTCGTTCCGTTTGCGAGGTTCATCGAAGACTACATTTTAGTGATGCTAAGTTTAACTCCTAGCAGTAATTTTAAATTCCTGTCTGGAAAAAAGGCTCTTCGCTCTGTTTGTGCAGCGAAACCTTTGCATCTAATTTGTTCTTATTCGAGTTAATCCACCAACAAAACGCTACCAAAATCAAATCAAATTGAGCCCGGTATAATGTCGCCATTGCACTTAACAGCCCAAAGTATTTAAGGATATCACAAAGAGAAAATACCTGTTTAAAATTTTAAAAAATGCAGTTATCCTTGTGGATCCCCCTAACTCATAAATGATAGTAGTCACGTAAATTTAGTTTTTAATTTTTATTCGATTTCCCTGACTTAGTCATTTTTGTGACCTTCTTTATAAAATCTCCCCGGTTCATCGCCTTCAAATAACCTGAAATACCACTCCAATGAAAAACCCGACCACAGTAAGGGCGAAAATAGCTGAAAGATACAGGATGACGTTATATAAATAAATTTTGTTCAAACAATAGCAGAGCTTTTTACTTGCCTGAGGAACGACTTCGTGTAGAAAGCTTACCACACTCTCCACGTATGACTTGTCGCTGTAAAACGACCAGATCAATATCGTTAACCCATCGGAGCATACTTACATCCAAAAACGAGGCAAAAATAGTCTGTTGAATGGCTAAAAACCTGATAGGTTGAGGTCGAACGACAAGCCCTCCACCGCGAGAAACTCGCCTAGCAGCATTCTCCACAGACATCATTCAGAGCTTTGGAAAGCTCTCAGGGGTCTTCAGAAGTGAAGATCTTTAAGCTTCGTAGCTTAAGTAGCCTATTTCGCTCACATTTCCATCGTTGTTTTCCTTCAGATCGTTTTTCCGAACATTTTTTGATGACTAAAAACTCTGTTTTTTGGCGCCGCGTTACGTCAGAAAAAAACATTGTTTATCTGCCTCGTTCTCAGTTTTGAGCGAGGTCTGGGTACGAAAAAAATCGGAAACAATGTTTGCATTGATTAATTATACCATTTTCAAATAAATCTGGAATTGTTTAATTGTTTCACATTCCACATAAAATCGGGAAAAATCGCGGATAAGGAAAATTACAGGGGGCTATGATAATAAAGCCATACCAATGGGCAATTTTCTTTTCATAATGAAAATTTTACTTTCTCTTATAGTTCCTGCTTTGTACTTAACCAGGGTCACGAAAACGCAAACTATTATATTGTAACGTACATTTAGAGAAGATGAACGAATCCCGAGGCGGGGGTTACTCCTGGGAATTCTTGGTGATTCTCCAAATCCTGGCCCTATTTCAGACCAAAAAATGTAACAATCCATACCCGTTTTCAGACCCGGCCTTTAGGCATAAATTATGTTTTCATTACTTAGATTAGAGCGTCAGCAAAAAAATTCTTCAAATCCATTTCGAATTCGCATAGTATTTCTCTTTCTTTCAGTGTTACTCATTTGGAATTTAAATGATTAATACGTTCATACACTACCGTAGTTCCCTCAAAAACTATACCCGTTTTCAGACCAAAATGGGCAAAGTGTATACCAGTTTTCAGACCAAAACAAAAACCTTACCCGATGGGGCGGAACATACCTACATAGCTTACATAAGGGAGTATCTCCGCCCCTCCTGGGGACCGAATATATCTTCACAGATAACATTATAAAGTACTACAGGAGCTGGGTCACCTTTCGGGAAACTACTAGAACAGTTTCTTAGATGACAGCCAGTCGTGAACTGAGTGTTGATTTTTCAGGGTTTTTTGCCCTCTCAAAGACACGTGATATGGCGTGATTCTGTGAGTATTGGAGTTAAATGTCAGGGCTCTGAGTGAGCGGGTCACTTTCAGCAGAGGTTTTTCTGTTTGTTGCGCCGTACTGATTAGCCACAAGAATGGCGAAACAGCTGTCTACGACTACAACCCTGCTCTGTTTTGGGTCCTTTCGATGTCGTATTTGATGTCTTGCAAAGTTAATTTTAACGTAGTACGATCCGCTTTGCAAAAGTGAATGTGTCTACTTTGTAGTTTAGCTGATCATGTCTTCTATAGATCCTACGTTCTGCGGCATATTCGTTTGCGGTCCTTTGCAGTTTAAATGTGTGTTTTTAACGTCGTCAAAATTAATTCATTCAATGTCGTCTATGTTTCAGCGAGTTACTTTCGAAGAGTACTCGACAATTTTCTACTATTATCTTATTCCTTTAATACTTCTATTTTCATCGCTGTTTTCATTCTAGCCAAGAGAGGATAGAGCTTTATCCTCTCTTGATTCTAACTGACCTCTTTTAATTGTTGGACAAATACCAAGTTACATTTCATACTGCAGTCTAGACAAAAGCACATTGTATGTCCAAAAATAAAAGGATTGCTAGTGACATGAAAAGTGACATTAAAAATAAAATCTATCTTTTATATTGATCTGGTTTGAAAAGTTTTTTCAAAGGTAAATACAACTTAAAAACCATTTTTCCTAACGAATAATGGCTAGGATTTACATTTCCGTTATTTTTCTCTTGTCATATTTTCCTCTATTGTTTGTCTCCCATCAATCAACTAATCACCAAATTTTACTGAATGTCGTTCATGTTGTTAAAGCTTTATTGTATCTCATGCACGCACGTGCGGTTTTAATGCTATATATTGGCTTTCAAGTCCGTAGTTAAACTCATATAATCCACTTTCTTTGATGTTGAAATAAATCCTGGTTCAATTCAACTTATTTTTACTTTAGAAGTGCTATCAAGAGTGGGAAGGGGGGCGGGGGGGTAACTACACCAATATTTGAGTATAGAGTCTGAAACTTTGACCCTGTTTAGGGCAGAAAAATCCCAAAATATACATCCCGCCGTTTAGGGCAACATCCTCAATTTTATTACTCTGTCTAGGACTAAGGACAAAATGCATGCCGTGATATTGTGTATTTCATATTCGTTTCATTTATTTATGTTTTAGTCACTCACATTACAAAAAAAAACGTTACAGGAGGTGTTAAATAAAATATGTATAGACTTCCTATTACATAGGCTTACTTGATTGCACTTAAACCTAAAGCCAAAACGGCTATCATCGGATAATTTTTCAGATATTTTAAAAAAATATGGAAGAGGAGCTGGTTAGTGTAACTGGCAAAGAATTCCAGGATTGTTAGTCCTACTGAACCGCTCGGTATAATATTAGTTCCCGGGGGGGGGGTTACTCCCTTACAAGAGGCTAATGGGGATGTGCCGCTGGATGGGGTAGCATTTTCACGACTGGAGTGACTATAATGGGGTCGCATTTTCAATAGATTTACTAGAATGGGGTCGCAAATTTTAGGATTTTGGGGGTAAGGAGGGATTCAAAATGGGAAGATTTTCGGTTATAAAATCAGAAAGTTGTTGTTTATTAAATTTAACTATAAGCTCGCACTGACCGCATTACATTCCGCCGCTTGAAACCACATTGATAAGGTCAGGATGCATAAATAGAAAGTGACTAAGTTGGGATCGCGAAAATTACATTTTCCAAAAAGTGACTAAGATGGGGTCTATAATTGGCCAAAAAATAGACTATAATGGGGTAGGGGCTCTAAGGGGCCAGCGGCACATACCCAGCAAACATTAACCCAAGTACCCCCCGGGGTATTAGTTCTACAAAAATGAGGTCTATACTGAGAGGCTAGTCGAGTTTCAGAATGGTGAAGCTGGCTACTAATTAAAAAGAGGTTACGAAAGCTACTAGGCAAAAGATTATGGTGATAGGAATACATAATGTCTTAAAAGAAAAAGAACTAATGTTATATATGTCAAGGGCTTTAAGTTTGCTAAATAATGTGGTGGCATTTGCTAGATAGTGAGCTTTGGATATAAGCCGCTCCATGCGATTTTACAAAAGGTAAATACAGTTAAGGTTAGAGCAATAGGTGGACGACGAGGCAACATTACAGTACGTTAGGTAGGGATATAGTAGAGAGTAATATAAGGTCAGCAACGATTTGGATGATAGATAAAAGCAAGCTTTTGCAATAATCCCCACAGTTTTCGAGATTTTTTTAGAAACAAAACTAATATGAGATTTCCTGGAAACGGTGCTGATCAATGACAATACCTACCCACGTTATTTATTGGAAATTACAATAGAGCAAATTCATCTAACAGTCATTGCTTTTGTATATTTGAATAAGGTTAAAAACAAGCAATTTTTTAATTAAAAAAAATTTTATGAAATGAAAAAAACGTTATAAAACAAGTCGAAAGAAAATATCATATGCGAGATGTTCTTTCACCTGGTCTCTCCAGTTCTTCAATAATCGTGTCCATATTTGGCCTCGCCCAAGGCTCTCTCTGTACACATCGCCTCGCAAGGTCTTTATGGTGACAGTCAATAATCCGCTCTATTTGTCCCTCGCGAATCCTCGGGTCTGGTTGTTCTCTGATGCACATTTCACAGAGGAGGACACCAAAACTATACACATCAACCTAATTATAAAGAAAATAGTGTTCCAGTAAGTCATTTGCGTCCATCATTTGGACTCATTTTCTTCATCCAAAGTTCGCAGAAGGTTTTGATAATATCCTCAAAATGATCCACATTTTTAGTACTTATTCGCCATTATCGGGTATTTTACGGATTCACAACCTGTCTTATTTGCCTCAATCAGGTTTAGTGGGATGTTTGCAATAGTGTCCCGAAAATTTGGCTTAGATTTCAATTTTTATAGGTCCAGTACAGGGACCCATTAACTCGGAGGGAGCATCAATCTGCTGGCAGTGTGAGTCACAGCACAGCAGATTTACAGATTGTACTTAAAGTGGAAATTTTCCTTTCACATGCGAAAATGCTTTCTTAGTCGGGTTAAACTACTCTCCGTTTGGCCCTTCAGTGGTAATCTAATATTCCTTTTACCCCCCGCACCCCCCAGAAAAGAAAAAAGAAAGAACTAAGAAATGGGTGGATGGTTGGACGGACGGATGGCAGTTCAGAAGCCACATCAAATGGAGTGTGTAGGGAAAATTATGGCCAATATAATGCATTCCGGCTCAGGCTATAAAACTGGCGTTAATTTGAACCCCGAACTCCACATAAGCCAAACCAATTGCATCCATTTATATCATACATTTTAAAGTATATTTTGGTTTCCCCCTTTGGAATTTATTTCAGCTAAATGAAGATTGGTGTCGGAATCAATTCAGCCGACCTAAATTAATTTGGCTCGGCCTAAATTCGAACCCGATTTGGCTCGTGCGAAGTACGGCGTCTGAACCAGGCCTCAGACAAGACATATTCACATTGAAATCTCGCAGAATTCACAGGAATGCAATGGACTATGTCACATTGCTACGCGGTGAGTTATCAAGACTTTCACTGACCTTGCAGCTTAATGGTTGATTAATATTTCCATTAAGGCACTCCGGTGCTTGATAGATCGCAGCTCCTGCGTAATTGATAGTGCTCTGGCGTACAAAATTAGCAGTGCCATAATCAGACACTTTGGCTCTCCATTGGTCACCTTGTCGCCATAATAACACATTTCCACTACTGACGTCATGGTGGATGAGGGGTTCGCGTTCCTGGTGCAGATAATTCAGAGCTAGAGAAACGTCCAATGAAATAACACAAACTTCCGGGGAAGTAAGGGCTGGTTCGTCAACATTAAATAGCCTACTTTTTAAGCTGCGGTCCATAATTTCCGTTATTAGAAGTGGGATTCCATCATCTGCAGTCGCGCCAATGAACTGTAACAAACATGGATGACGACATTTTGAGGCAATTTCGATTTCTCGCTCAAACAAACGCCTGTTGTTATCCGAAATTATATTTGCGTGCAATTCTTTTACAGCAACATCACAACCGCGAAATTTTCCTCGAAAAACAGCGCCCCACGCCCCGCGTCCAAGCTCTTCACAGTTTTCAGTGACAATTTCACGCCGATAGATGATCCAGTCACAATCCTGAGTTAGCATTTCAGGAACTGCACGTTGCTGCCTCCCTCTGGGTCCTTCGTCTTGTCTTCTTAGTCTGTTAAGCTGTTCTCTGCCCGTCGTCAATTGCTGTTGAATTGTTTGCAGTTGATTGGTTAATTCAATAACCCCTTGTTGTTCACCTTGCCGTTGGAATTCATTTAACTGTTCTCTCAATCTCGTCCACTCTTGTTGGCTTGTTTCTAACTGATTTTGAAGTCCAAGAACTCGTCGTTGTTCTTCTCTCAGTAGTTCGCCCTGTTCGTGAAATTCATTCAGTTGTTCTCTTATTCTCGTCAGCTCTTGTTGGCTTGTTTCTAACTGATTTTGAAGTCCGAGAACTCGTTGTTGTTCTTCTCTCAGTATTTCGCCCTGTTCATGAAATTCATTCAGTAGTTCTCTTATTCTCGTCACCTCTTGTTGGCTTGTTTCTAACTGATTTTGAAGTCCGAGAACTCGTTGTTGTTCTTCTCTCAGTATTTCGCCCTGTTCATGAAATTCATTCAGTAGTTCTCTTATTCTCGTCACCTCTTGTTGGCTTGTTTCTAACTGATTTTGAAGTCCAAGAACTCGTCGTTGTTCTTCTCTCAGTAGTTCGCCCTGTTCGTGAAATTCATTCAGTTGTTCTCTTATTCTCGTCAGCTCTTGTTGGCTTGTTTCTAACTGATTTTGAAGTCGGAGAACTCGTTGTTGTTCTTCTCTCAGTATTTCGCCCTGTTCATGAAATTCATTCAGTAGTTCTCTTATTCTCGTCACCTCTTGTTGGCTTGTTTCTAACTGATTTTGAAGTCCGAGAACTCGTTGTTGTTCTTCTCTCAGTATTTCGCCCTGTTCATGAAATTCATTCAGTAGTTCTCTTATTCTCGTCACCTCTTGTTGGCTTGTTTCTAACTGATTTTGAAGTCCGAGAACTCGTTGTTGTTCTTCTCTCAGTATTTCGCCCTGTTCATGAAATTCATTCAGTTGTCCTCTTATTCTCGTCAGCTCTTGTTGGCTTGTTTCTAACTGATTTTCTAGTTCCGAAGCTCTTCTTTGTTCCTCTCTCAACTCTTCACATTGTCTTTGTAACCGATTCAGTTGTTCTCTCGTTCTCCTCAGTTCCTCCTGGTTTTCTTCTAAATGATCTTCGAGTCTAACAACTAGTTGATGTTGCTCTGTTAATTGTTCAACTTCTTGTTGATATCCATTTAGTTGTTCCTCCATTACTGCTCGATCAAGTTCGATTACTTCAAGTTCTTTTTGCAGTTCAATAATTCGATTACGTACCTCTCTTAGTAGTACCTCCTGCTCATGAAATTCGTTCAGTTGATCTCGCATTGTTATCAACTCTTGTTGGCTTGTTTCCAACTGATTTTCTAGCTCAGAAGCTCTTCTTTGTTCCTCTCTCAACTCTTCACATTGTCTTTGTAACCGATTCAGTTGTTCTCTCGTTCTCCTCAGTTCCTCCTGGCTTTCTTCTAAATGACCTTCGAGTCCAACAACCCCTTCATGAAGTTCCTTTGTTAATTGTTCAGCAAAGTCTTGTTGATATCCATTTAGTTGTTCTTCCATTACTGCTCGATCAAGTTCGATTACTTCAAGTTCTTTTTGCAGTTCAATAATTCGATTATGTTCTTCTCTAAGTAGTTCCTCCTTCTTAAGAAATTCGTTCAGTTGATCTCGTTTTTTTATCAACTCTTGTCGGTTTGTTTCTAATTGATTTTCTAGTTCAGAAGCCCTTCTTTGTTCCTCTCTCAACTGTTCAGTTTGTCTTGGTAACCGATTCAGTTGTTCTCTCATTCTTCTCAGTTCCTCCTGGTTTTCTTTTAAATGACCTTGGAGTCTAATAACTCGTTGATGTTCCTCTGTTAATTGTTCGCCTTCTTGTTGATATCCATTTAGTTGTTCTTCCATTACTGCTCGATCAAGTTCGATTACGTCAAGTTCTTTTTGCAGTTCAATAATTCGATTACGTTCCTCTCTGAGTAGTTCCTCCTGTTTATGAAATTCATTCAGTTGATCTCGTATTGTTATTAACTCTTTTTGGTTTGTTTCTAACTGATTTTGCAGCTCCAAAACGTGCTGTTTTTTCTTCCTTAGTAACTTTTCCTTTCCTTTAAATCCATTTAGCTGTTCTCTGTCCCTTGCCAACTCTTGTCGGTTTGTTTCTAACTGATTTTGCAGCGCTAAAATTCGTCGTCGTTCCTCTCTGAGTTTTTCTTCAAGATCTGTTAATTCGTGCCTCTTTGTTTTTAACTGGCTTTGCATTTCAGTAACTTGTTGTTTTTCCTTTTTTAATTGTTCGCTTTGTCTTTGGAATTTGTTTAGTAGTTCCCTCATTCTCTTCAATTGTTGTTGCTTTATTTCTAACGTGTTTTTTAGTTCAGTGCTTCTCTGTTTTTCTTGTTCTAATTGTTTTTCCTGCATTAGAAATCCATTCAGTTTCTCCTTCATTGTCTCCAGTTCCTGCTGGCTTATTTCTAACTGACTTTCCATTTCAGTAACTCCAGCTGTAACTCGCTGTTCCTCTTCTTTTAATTGTTCTTCTTGTCCCTGATATCTATTTAGTTGTTCCATAATTACTGTCCATTCATTCTCGTTTTCCTTAAGCTGACTTTGCAGTTCAGTAACTCGCTGCTGTTTTTCTCTTAGTGTTTCTTCCTGTTTATTAAATTCAATCAGTTCTTCCCTCATTGCTGTCAATTCGAGTTCGTTTGTATTTAACAGACTCTGCAGTTGAATAGCTCGTTGATGTTCCCATTTCAGACGTTCCTCTTGAATTTCGAGTTCATTCGTCTGTTCTCTCATGAATGCAAACTCTTGCTGGATGATTTCTAACCGACTTTGCAGATGCGAAACTCGTTCTTGATTGTCTCTTCTTAATAGCTCACCTTCTTTTTTAAATGCAGTTATTCGTTTTTTCATTTTACCCAAATCATGCCTGCTTGTTTCTAATTGATTTTCCAACTCGGTTAAACGTTGTCGTTCCTCTCTGTGAAGTTCATCTTGCTTCTCGTATTCATACCTTTGTTTTATCGTCAATGCTATGTTTCGTCGGTTTGTTTCTAACTGACTTTGAATCATTATCGTCAACTTGTTTTGCAGATCAGCAATCTGTTGTTGTTCCTCTTTTACAAGTTCGTCCTTTGCAAGGAAATCGTTCAGTTGTTGTTGCTCTCTTAAATGTTTGTCCTGTTCATAGAATTCATTGATTTGTTCGCTCATTGTCTTCTGCTCTTGTTGGTGCAACTCTACCTGATGGTGTAGTTCAGTAACTTGGAGTTGTTCTTCTCTCTCTTCTGCCAATTCATGCTGATTTTGTTCTGGCTGTTCTTGATGCTCTGCTCCATAAAGTGCGGATTGCCCTGTTGCTGTCAGTTCAAACTGACCTGTTTCTTCTGGACTTTGAAGTTCGCAAACTCGACTTCCTTCTGTCTTTAACTGGCCGCTTTTAACTTGCTTATTTGTTCCCGCCTGCCTTTGATGTTTGCCTTTTTCTTGAGCCGAGTGGTTCGCATGTTCTTCCAGCGTTAAAATTTCTCCTTTATTTTTTTCGGACAGCGTTGGTAAGTCATTGAATTTGTTTGGTTGCTCATTGTTATTGTAGTCTTCAGTGCCTAGTATGCATTCTTGATCTTTCTCGTCCTCATCTGCACTCGTTACACTAAATTGTGGGCCTTGCGATAAAGCCAACTGTAGTTTAATCAATCCCTCACTCATCGTTCGTAATCTTTCCTCTTGAGAGTATCTTGCTCTGTGTTACGGATGCTGCAATTTCAACAAAGAAGGGAAAATTGTCTGATCCGAGATGCTTCTTGTCTATAGTAGGGCTGATCCAAAGCCGGGGGTGTTATTAGTCTTATCGCTCTGTTTCCTAGGGGGAAGAGTTGTACACGTTACGTTGATATATAGCATATATAGCATTCAGAAAGCTGTTCAGACTCTCAGTTACAGTTTCTTAGCTTTGAATGTTGAAACGAACTTTCTTTTTTATAAGGTAACCAAGTTGTCACTTATGTAACGGGAGGATATTTCACTGTGTCAAGCGGCTTTTCGGCCTGTCAAACCAAATTGGCGGGAAAGTCGAACTAGGAAACAACGGAACTAAAGCTCTTAGCGAGGGCGCGAGAACATGTTAGCAAATAGTGATCTGCTAATGGAAGTTATTGACGGTGGAAACTGCAATTCGGTAGAGCGACTGACTCGCTGCTGGCACTCGTTACTACTGCCAGAGGTACAGGGTCTAATTTCCACGTCCCAAGGTACGAAGGTTGGGCAAGAACTGAGTCTTTTCTGTAATGCTGCAACTTCTTTGTTGTAGAGTAAACCTCGTAGATAGTATTTCACATGTAATTGCAGGTAATCGTAATCTAGATAATCGCAGGCTAGGTAATCGCAGCTTAGGTAATCGATTTACAACAGTTTAAATACTACTTTTATACATTCTACAGTAAATACAGGTGTTCCATTATCACAAAGGAACACAAGAACCTATTCAAAACTACACGTGCTATCTGATCAACGCGTTACAATTCGATTGGTTAAAAGACTTTTCCTTTATGGTGAAAATACAATACTTCCTATTTCGGTTCCTGGACTTTAAGAAAAACTCATGTTGTAACTCAAGCTTAATGAATAGAGAACAACAGTTGTTCTTGAAATGTAAAATAGTCGTCGACTAACAAAGAGGCACGTACAGAAGTACACGTGTTCTATTGAAATTACATCTCAGATGTTCCAATATTTGTGCACATGTCACTGCCTGCTACTTTGCATTTGAATTATACACATATTTCAGCTGCGGAGTTTCGAAAGGCACAAAAAGCCAAGACTAGATTTGCTGAGTAGGCAGAATTGCTACAATGACGCTCTAATGAAACTGAGTTCCGTTCTAAAGATAATATTGAAATATCGGCTGTGACACTTACTTGTTCAGTGGTACTCCTTCCATTTACTCTGAAAACTTAGCTTCATACAAAAACTAGTAAACTGGTCCAGTACAATTTCCTGGCTAATTTTGGAAGATCAACGATGCCTCTTAACAGCGCTAGTTCAAGGCATTTTTGATGATTTTGCATCGTTTCCATTGAATCATGGCCGATGGTCAGCTCGGTCACACAGCCAACAAAACAATAAAAGCCGAAAAAATAAGCAACATTTATAGGACGCATTTTTTATCAGTATGGTTGTAGCAAATTTTTTATTCCTCTGGTTCACATGACGTCATCAAAATTTAAAACTAAATATGAATTATCTGTATTCCTTTGAGTTTTTACTTTTATCAAGTATTAGAGCAGCTAAAAACTGATATCTATATAGTTTTGTGATAGAGCACGGCTTGAATTTCTAAGGTTTTTGCGTGACCCCGTATTTACATGGCGGAAGATATCTTGACAGCTGTCATGTGGGCAAAAAGTGACCTATTTGGATTATGCTATCATATAATATCGATTATGCTAGAAAAAGTATTTCTTTAATGTTTATGAGTTTTTCAAGAGATTAATTCGCGCTTTTGTAGCACCTATCCGGATGGACATCAAAGCAGGGTCACAAAAAAGATTTTCCTGAAACAAACAACATCTCGAAAACAGCCCTTTTTTCGGTCTCTATATCAGATTTCTGTAAGTGAAAGTCATCTTTGGGCTCCTTCGACCTGTAAAGCTCCTTCTGCTGAAGGCAAGTGTGAAAAACTCGCTCCAAATAAAACTTTATATTTTTAAAATCCTTTGTTGATCGGTTTTCTTTCCCGTCTGAATAGAATTTCGACCCCGATATCAACTGAACACAATCAAACGAGTGGAAATGAGCCTAAACATCACTTTCTTTACCCTTTTCCTTCACAAGGTGTCTGGAAACTCAGTTCTCTTCTCTATGGTACATTAAACCTCGGTAAAGCTCCTGCTTATTAAAAACCAGCGGGGAGTTTGAAAGCGGTGTTTACTGTTTGACCCACTTCCATCAGAAAATTACGGTCAGTTACGTTATGACTCCTTAACTTTTTAACTGTTTATTACCTGAAAGCTCCAAAACCGCCAATGCATCTGAATGAATCTTGCATCCGCCTTACCTTCCTTTAGAAGCGGAAACCGATTCAGTATTTCCCCGTTTTGTTCTCGTTTTGGTCGACACTTACGCGCTAAAGAAAAGGAGAAGACGAAACAATCGTGCAACTTCGCGGAAGTTTTATGGACCTTGTGACCTTTCGATTCTCGGAATTTCAGTCACGTTAACACCACAGTAGAGGAGCACCCTTGCTTCAACATTGTTACACAACCCATTAAAAATAAAAAACAACTAATGCCTGAGATCGATGGACATATTTGCCGGCAGAAAAATGAGTCATAGAGAAGCACTAGCTATTTCAATCCTGGTCATGCAGCTTTCGTCAAGTTCTTTCCCTTATTTTTGTCGTAGGTTGCGTTTTGAACCGCAATAACTTTTGTTTTTCTGATACGTAGAAGTGGCAATATCTTGCCCAGAGATAACCATGTGACGGTAAAACCATCAAAAAAGTGAAATTTAAAAGCGGTGGCCGCTGGGGGAGGACGCCCAGGAGAGACCATGATTATTTAAATTCAGGATAACACTTGAAAGACCTCAGTCCTGCTATTTAAAAATCATGGGAAAACTGTGGTCTCGTGAAAGGATCCTTCCACATAAAGTACACCGATATCCTCATCAAAAATACAAATTTTGACTCCACTACACAACATGAAGAGACAAAATGTAAAGGCAAATAGGTTCATTTTGGCACGGCTTGGCGAGAACCAACCCTGCAAAGTACGTATGTAACAGCAATAGGTGAATACCTAATGTACAACACTCGTAAACTACTAGCTTTCACAAAAAGAAAGAACTGCTACAACTGGTCGATCTCGACCTGAATCCAAAGGTTGGCTTAGTGCCACTTAGATCGCCAGTTAGGCTAGGGAAACTTAATGGTGATGCGGGCGTGAGTGTGTGCAGGCCTCTCAGTAGCTGCTTCCACGTGTGGTTATGTTTTTTAAAATTCCCTTTTTATTCATGTAAATGTACTTTTTAGTCAGCTTTGGTAGTATAGTTATGGTCAAGTGAAATGCGCAATTGATCATGCATTAGAATGTTAATTTGCGCGATATTAATTAATAAATATTATCATTATTATGTAAGCAACACTCCCACCGGTTTCGGCAGTACCATAACTTTTGAAACTAATCCCTTTAGTCCCATACATACATTAGTCCGTTCACACTAATTTGTGCGTTCTAACTGTACTAATAACAATCGAATATGTGACTCGTTTTTTGCCTGATAGTTTAAAGGTCTTTATCTCTACCTCAATCATATCTACGCGGTCTTTAAGATGGCTGCTGCACCAGGAGGGGGCTGCTCCTATATGTGGGCTAGATAGGTATGTGCTGCCTGATAAGGTATGGTGTTTGAGGGTCTCCATCCCTAAATAGGGTATCATTTTTGCCCTTGATGGTTTTGAGTTCTCGGTATGCTCCTTAGATGGGCTACCGATATTGTATCACCTAAAATTTAAGTGCTTAAATGCCCAGCTACACAAGAAACAAATCATCTGTTAAAACAAAACTTTTCGTGCTCTTTGCAAGTCACTCTGTTGTTCTCTTCTGCTCAACTCATTTTCATGAGGTTCCGTACGTCGACACGATCGAGCTCTTTTTGCGCGTTCCAGTATATGACTTCTACTTGTCCGGTGAGTTACTCGGTCTCTTGAAGACGTAAAGCACTGTGCCATCGTAGTTGAAAGTCCCCTACGGCAGTCTGCACCCCGGGGGGAACTCTCATATGAAAGGGGCGGGGATCCTCGTCGGAAATTTTGAATTAAAACCCTAAAGGAGATCAATCTGGGCGTGGCCCAACCTTTTTTTCACCCCTAAAAGCGATCATTTTAAACTTTGATCACATGAATCGAGTAAGTAAAAGGAATTATATAACTTTTTAATATTTCTTCGAGGGCAACCCTAAAAGAGACCTTTACGGCTTAATATAATGGTATTTTGCAGAGAACACCCTAAGTGAGACCAAAATCTGAAATTTACATCCCTAAGCGAGACGACGAGCATCCCCGCCCCTTTAATATGGGAGTCCCCCCCGCCCCCGAGGGTCTGCACCTTTCGTTTTTAATTTTTCTTTTGTATTGACTTTAATTTACAGACACACACACACACACACACACACACACACACACACACACACACACACACACACACACACACACACAAAAAAAAAAAAGATAGGTAAGGGTTATCGGCCAGGCCCCAGTTGTTCAAAAGGTGGATAAGTCTGCGTGATGGATTGTGCTATCTATCTTTTGAACACCCGGCGCCTGAAGGGATGGGTCATAACTCCAAATTGAAGGCTAGCTGAGAACCAATTAGATTCAATAATTTTGTTATTGACACAATTTTAACGACGGGAGTACAATTTTCAATGTTCCGCTTCATCCCGCTTAGACACCTTCAGGCGTCTTATTTCAGATTACTTTCAAAAATTCTACAAAAAAAAATTACGATACGAGATAAGTAAGGTTATTGACTAGAAAAAATAGCGTAGTCACATCTCACTATCTTGGTCAAACAGCATAATCTCATTCGAAGATGTATTTTCATGGGCACTTTTTTCGTACTATTAAATTTTGCACTGCTAATTAATAGTCAAATGTTATGATGATGCAATAAGCAAAATAAAGTATTGGATCTATTTGAGAGAGGAAATCATGAACTCTACCAAGAGAATGGAATTGCAAGTAAGTCTGCAGAAAGTTGCAAAATAAATATTACTTTGTTTGATGATAAAATAAATCTGGATGACGGGGTTGATCGTGGGCATAAGGGTAAGCTGTCATAAACACTATTTGTCAACTTCGTTCAGCTGTTGGTTTCAGTCTGGAAAGATACTAGTGAAAGCACGATTTTTGAAAGCAAATGGTTTAGTCTCAGACGACTCAACGAAAAAAAGTATCCTTCTGACATCCGTCTGAATATCTACGGTCGGTTATTTAAACGAATTCTAACTTAGGCCGCGGTTTAAGAGATCAAAGACCTCCAGATCTATTTCTTAGTAGGCTGATTTAGGAAAATAAGTGCCTTTCTAGTCTGTGCTGTATGCTTTATTGGAATTGTTCACGATAAATGGTTTTTCGTTAACGGCTGAAAATGGCTTAAAACGCAGTTTTGTTAAAAACGGGCTAAACTCCGTTTAAATAACTGCCCCAAAATGTCTGCTGATGCATGGTAGGCCAAATATTAAACACTCTTTAACAGCGCTGTATTCTTGCTGGGATCAACTGGAGACGATCAGAGTCAACACTATGTATTAGAATTTCCATTTGCCTTTGCTCGAGTGGATGAGATGAGTCATGATACTGCACAGATCGGTTCTCGAGAAACGACTGCAGTGAAACCTCTAGCCCCCGAATAAAAAAGACGGTAATCAGGTATTTTCTCCACACAAACATCAAAGAAATAAACAACTCAATCATCCGGAATCAACTCACCAGTCTTCTCTAAAATGTGTTAAATTTGCTGCCTAAGAAATGTCAATTAATGTCAATGTGAATGGTAATTCCCACACCCGAGTCAGAGCCTCCTAGCTTGAAGTTAGCTCTTCTTTTTAAAATTTAATTCCCTGACTTACCTTTAAAGGTCTGTGAACCGATGTTGGACCCGGAAAAGCTACTGCCTGTTAAGTTCCGAGGGGGTTTCCCTCTTAACGATATCGTGAATACCGTGACGTATATGTCTCGCTCAACAGGGTCCTGATTTCAATACTTCTTCTCTTCAACGAATAATCTCGTGTACTCTACGTTTCCTGGGACGTACGAAAGTTTCGCAAAAATCAGCAGCGAATTGAATGTCAGTTTCAAAGTGCATCTGAAACCAGGTCCACATTTCAATGCTGTGGCGGCACATTATCGGTTAACCACCCACAACGTTCCTGAGTACCCACCACGGAGTATAGCTTGTGGAATCGGACTTTGGTTTCGTGTTGCGTCATTCTTTAATCTATTTTCAACTCATCGGTCAATTAATTGTTTCTGGGATAAAGGGCTACAATAATGAGTGCCTTGAGGGCATTTTAAATTTCATTAAATTGTGATGCATTTGCCTTGGATAGAAACGGTAAGATTCAGTTAGCTTTTAAGTTCAATCTAACTTGTTCCAGCGATCACGCTGGCGGGAAATTTTACGTTGTAATCTCCCTGGTCTGAATACTAACCCGCTAATGTCGAATGAAAACATTAACGATCACATCAATCAAAGTCAATCGACATTTTTTTTTTCTTCGATTTGGGTTTTCCTTCGGCCTATAAAGCTCATTCTGCTGTGAAAAACTCGCTTTCTTTTCCGTCTGAATGGAATTTCGACTCCAATATCAACTGACCCGACTAGTTCAATCGATAAAAACCGATATCGGAAAACCGTTCGATAAATCGATAACTATCAATAGTATCAAATTTAAATGTTATCGATTTATCGATCAATCGATAGAAATCGATACTCACAACTATCGCTGCTCTTTTAAGATATTGAATTTATCGATTTATCGATTTTATCGTTTTTATTAAGGACCGTGTATTGTTGACACTTATAAATGCAAAATACCGGTTCTTTCGAGACAGCGTTTTTAAAAAAACAAGCTGTGTTTTTGCCGATGCGTTTAATAAGCGGCTTACATCCGTTTTATCTGGGCGTCTTAAGACCTTCTTGCTCGCTCATAGCCCGGGATTGTACGTCCACTGTACTACTGTCGTACAATGTCTTAAGGTAATTCCCTTGAAATTGTTCTACTATCAAACTTTTTTTGAAACTTGGCATAATCAACATTCATGATATGAACATTAAAAAAATGCAATAAAAAGATGGGGTCACATTATATTGTCGGTGTTGTTTCAATGCATTCATCCCTGAGTCTTCACTCCTGGTCAAATGCAAGAAGAAGTTGTTACGTTTTGTTTCTCTGCTGAATCATGTTGAGTATAATACCGATCATGCTACGTATTTGTTCAATATTTGATTTGGGAAATAAATCTTTAAACTTATCCTACGAGAGTAATTTTTTGTTAGACTCGTTTTCGGGAAGTTCTTATGCTTCGCTGCCCTTAACTACGTGGAAACGTATTGCGCCGATAAATTTGACAAGTTCGATAAAATCGATAACAATAATTTAAAAATCGATGATTATCGATTACTCACAACGTATGCCTTTATCAATTTTTCTCGATTTCCGATACAATTAACTAATTTTTATCGATTTTATCAATTGTCATCGATTATCGGTTTTATCGATTGAACTACTCGGGCAACTGAACACAATCAAACCATTGGAAAATGAGCCTACATTTTGTTAACCCTTTTCCTTCGCAAGTTGTCTGGAAACTCAGTTGTCTTCTTTAAGATATACCCTAAAATTCCGAAAATAAGCCCCTCTATGTATAAGCCCCCCAAACTCGTAACGCAAAAAACCCTCCGTTAAATCGCCCCCAGGAAATTGCCCTCAAATACAAAGTAAAACAAAGCAAAAACGGCAAATTTCCCGCCATCTATAAGGCTAACCAAATCAGTTTGAAACGCAAATTTCCCTCCGTAGATAAGCCCCTCCAAAAATAAGCCTCTCAGAAAGGGCCTTTGGAAAATATAAGCCCCGGGGCTTATTTTCGGAATTTTACCTCATTTTAAAAACCTCCCTAAAGCTTCTGCTTATTAATAACCAGCGGGTTTTTTTCCAAAGCGGCGTTTACTGTTTGGCCCACCTCAATCAGATCATTGCTGTTATACTCATTCATGAAACTTACCTGAAAATCCTAAAATTGCCAGCGCATTTGACTAAATCTTGCGTTTGCCTTAATTCTCTTTAAAATCGGACACCAATTCAGTATTTCCCCGTTTTGGTTTTGTTGTGGTTGACACCTGCGCGACTGCAAAGAAACGCGAAAGACGAAATCAACTTCGCGTAAGTTTTATGGACCTTGTGACCTTTCGATTCTCGGAATTTCAGTCACGTTAACATCACAGTGAAGGACCACCCTTGCTTCAGCATTCTTACTCAACACATTATGAAACAATTAATGCCCGAGATCGATGGACCCATTTGCCGGCAGTAAAAAGAGTCAGGAAAGGCGGTCATTCAGGTTCGATCAAGGGCTTCGTTACCAGGACGCGTAAAAGAGAGGCAGATTAACTTCAGGGTAAAAAGAGACCTGAGTCTTATTATTCAAAACTGAAAATTGTGATCCAAAGAAAGGATCCCATCAATATAACCGATAAGATCATATTCGAATTTTAAAATATTTAGCAAATCTACAAAAGCCTTTTCTGATCCCATTTCTAACATGGGGATGGAGTGAATTCTACCACGCTGGTGTGAGTATTTACAAAGCTCTAAAGTAGCTATTTCCACGTGAAGTTGGTCACTCCCCCATCTACTCAGAATTACAATTCCGTCTTCTGAAAATAATCCCTTCAGTCCTATACATACATTGTTCCAGTCACACTAATGTGCGCGTTGTTCAAACATGATAAAAATCAAAGGACTGACTGGGCCAACTCGTTTATGGCCTGGAAAAAAAAATAAGCATCTGTATGTCGCACAGAGGAATAACGTTTAATTGATTAATTTCACTTTCCTGTCATAATAAGTTCCAAATGGTAAATCTTTTCTACAGTAAAAACTTCTACAAATGATTAGTTCAGTATTTAATTCTATAGTGCCAATTTGTTTATTGTTGTTACCTAGAATTTATTATAAGGAGGCAGGAAATGCGTAGCCTTCACATTTCGAGACGCCACCTCTGGTTTCCCCGAGAAATGACGTCTGAAAAACGAGTGCAGAAATTCCATACTGATGACGCGTCACTAACCAGATGTGCTTCTGATTGGTCGTGCCGAATATTTGCCTCAATCAATCAGAAGTCCTACCCAGATCTGGATAGTGCACGTCATCAGTATGGAATTTCTGCGCTTGTTTCTCAGACATCATTTTGCGGGGAAACCAGTGGTGGCGTTGCGAAATGTCGGCTGTTTTCTCTGGCCAGTTGCAGGCGCAGGTTTTTTTTTTTAAGGGCGAAGGGGGAAATTACGAGGATGCGCGTGTTTCCCCTTTGCGCACTCTGTAACAACTTGTTCCACTTTTCATAGCGTCTCCAGTTCTTCGATAACCGTGTCCATATGTGGCCTCTCCCAAGGCTCTTTCTGTACACAGCGCCTCACAAGGCCTCGATGGTAGCAGTTTCTGATCTGCTCTATTTGCCTGTCACGGTCCTCCTGGACTGGTTGATCTCTGATGCACATTTCACAGAGGAGGACACCAAAACTATACACATCAACCTAATTAAGAAAATCGAAAATTAAGTAAAAAGATGTGTACGCTGGGTTTTATTAATCATCTGTCTAAAAACGGCTTTTGAATGAAAAGGATTATAGCCTCATTAGATCATTTGCGTAGCCTTACGCATAGGGTCCACATAGGCATAGTTATGCTACAGCTTCCCGGGAGTACTTTAGGATTGTTTTCTTTCTAAACTCGGATTATATTTATTCATACGATGCTCGCCATAAGCTGATGTAAAATTCATAAATACGAAATAAGTGTATAGAGGATCAAACTAATGATTCTAATATATGGACGTGATCTCCGGAGATCATATATAGAGGATATTACACGGTGGCGCGAAGGTAGGAATTTTATTTTCGAGTGGCAAAACAATATTTTACGAAGGAGCGCAGCGTGTGAGTAAAATATTGTTTTTACCACGAGAAAATAAAATTCATATCTTCAAGCCGCCGTGTAATGTTCTTTTTATTATATAGACAAGAAGACATTGATAAAGTAATAGAGGGAAATTACCGAAATTACGTCATCGATAAACTCACATGTGAAATTATGGAAAATAAACCACTCGGGTCCCGGATGTAGTTTTTATGAATTTTACGAGTGGTTTATTTTCCTGTGAAACACTCGTGTCTATATAATAAACAGGTATATTAAAGTTCTCAATTTTGAATAAAACTGACTGTGCATTCAATTCTCGGCTCTTTTTTATCAAACTCATTGTTGACTACACCAGAGATACAAGGGGGATATATATCCCTCTCTTTTTCGAAATATACTGCTCCTGTACTGACCTTACAGCTTATGGGTTGATCTGGATCTCCGTTCAACGACTCTGGTGCTTGATAGATCGCAGCGCCTGCGTAATTGATAGTGCTCTGGCGTACAAAATTAGCAGTGCCATAATCAGACACTTTGGCTCTCCATTGGTCACCTTGTCGCCATAGTAACACATTTCCACTACTGACGTCATGGTGGATGATAGGTTCGCGTTCCTGGTGCAGATAATTCAGAGCTAGAGCAACGTCCAGTGAAATAACACAAACTTCCGCGGAAGTAAGGGCTGGTTCGTCAACATTAAATAGCCTACTTTTTAAGCTGCGGTCCATAATTTCCGTTATTAGAAGTGGGAGTCACGCCAATGAACTGTAACAAACATGGATGACGACATTTTGAGGCAATTTCGATTTCTCGCTCAAGCAAACGCCTGTTGTTATCCGAAATTATATTTGCGTGCAATTCTTTTACAGCAACATCGCAACCGCGAAATTTTCCTCGAAAAACAGCGCCCCACGCCCCGCGTCCAAGCTCTTCACAGTTTTCAGTGACAATTTCACGCCGATAGATGATCCAGTCACAATCCTGAGTTGGCATTTCAGGAATTGCAGGTTGGTGCCTCCCTCTGGGTCCTTCGTTTTGTCTTCGTAGTCTGTTAAGCTGTTCTCTGCTTGTCGTCAATTGCTGCTGAATTGTTTGCAGTTGATTGGGTAATTCAATAACCCCTTGTTGTCCGCCCTGCCGTTGGAATTCATTCAGCTGTTCTCTCAATCTCGTCCACTCTTGTTGGCTTGTTTCTAACTGATTTTGAAGTCCAAAAACTCGTCGTTGTTCTTCTCCCAGTGTTTCGCTCTGTTCATGAAATTCATTCAGTTGTTCTCTTATTCTCGTAAGCTCTTGTTGGCTTGTTTCTAACTGATTTTGAACCCCAAGAACTCGTTGTTGTTCTTCTCCCAGTGTTTCGCTCTGTTCATGAAATTCATTCAGTTGTTCTCTTATTCTCGTCAGCTCTTGTTGGCTTGTTTGTAACTGATTTTCTAGTTCAGAAGCTCTTAACATTGTCTTTGTAACCGATTCAGTTGTTTTCTGGTTCTCCTCAGTTCCTCCTGGTTTTCTTCTAAATGACCTTCGAGTCTAACAACTAGTTGATGTTGCTCTGTTAATTGTTCAACTTCTTGTTGATATCCATTTAGTTGTTCTTCCATTACTGCCCGATCAAGTTTGATTACTTCAAGTTCTTTTTGCAGTTCAATAATTCGATTACGTTCCTCTCTTAGTAGTTCCTCCTGCTCATGAAATTCGTTCAGTTGATCTCGCATTGTTATCAACTCTTGTTGGCTTGTTTCTAATTGATTTTCTACTTCAGAAGCTCTTCTTTGTTCCTCTCTCAACTCTTCACTTTGTCTTTGTAACCGATTCAGTTGTTCTCTCGTTCTAATCAGTTCCTCCTGGCTTTCTTCTAAATGACCTTCGAGTCTAACAACCCGTTCATGAAGTTCCTCTGTTAATTGTTCACCTTCTTGTTAATTTCCGTTGAGTTGTTTTCCCATTGCTGCTCGATAAGTTCTATTACTTCAAGTTGACTTTGCAGTTCAATAATTCGATCACGTTTCTCTCTTAGTAGTTCCTCGTGCTTATGAAATTCGTTCAGTTGATCTCCTATTGTTATCAACTCTTGTTGGTTTGTTTCTGATTAATTTTGCAGCTCCAAAACGTACTGTTTTTTCTTCCTTAGTAACTTTTCCTTTCTTTTAAACTCATTTAGCTGTTCTCTTTCCCTTGCCAACTCTTGTGGGTTGGTTTCTAACTGTTTTGCAGCTCAAAAACTCGTCGTCGTTCCTCCGTGAGTTGTTCTTTAAGATTTGTTAATTCATGGCTCTTTGTTTTTAACTGACTTTGCATTTCAGTAATTTGTTGTTTTTCCTTCTTTAATTGTTCGCCTTGTCCTTGGAATTTATTTATTCTTTCTCTCATTCTTGTCAATTGTTGTCGGTTCATTTCTAACATGTTTTTTAGTTCAGTGCCTCTCTGTTTTTCTTGTTCTAATTGTTTTTCCAGCATTCGAAATCCTTTCAGTTTCTCTTTCATTGTCCCCAATTCTTTCTGACTTATTTCTAACTGACTTTGCATTTCAGTAATTTGTTGTTTTTCCTTCTTTAATTGTTCGCCTTGTCCTTGGAATTTATTTATTCTTTCTCTCATTCTTGTCAATTGTTGTCGGTTCATTTCTAACATGTCTTTTAGTTCAGTGCCTCTCTGTTTTTCTTGTTCTAATTGTTTTTCCAGCATTCGAAATCCTTTCAGTTTCTCTTTCATTGTCCCCAATTCTTTCTGACTTATTTCTAACTGACTTTGCATTTCAGTAATTTCTTGTTTTTCCTTCTTTAATTGTTCGCCTTGTCCTTGTAATTTATCTATTCTTTCTCTCATTCTTGTCAATTGTTGTCGGTTCATTTCTAACATGTTTTTTAGTTCAGTGCCTCTCTGTTTTTCTTGTTCTAATTGTTTTTCCAGCATTCGAAATCCTTTCAGTTTCTCTTTCATTGTCCCCAATTCTTTCTGACTTATTTCTAACTGACTTTGCATTTCAGTAATTTCTTGTTTTTCCTTCTTTAATTGTTCGCCTTGGCCTTGGAATTTATTTATTCGTTCTCTCGTTCTTGTCAATTGTTGTCGGTTCATTTCTAACATGTTTTTTAGTTCAGTGCCTCTCTGTTTTTCTTGTTGTAATTGTTTTCCCTGCATTCGAAATCCTTTCAGTTTCTCTTTCATTGTCCCTAATTCTTTCTGACTTATTTCTAACTGAATTTGCATTTCAGTAACTTGTTGTTTTTCCTTCTTTAATTGTTCGCCTTGGCCTTGTAATTTATTTATTCGTTCTCTCATTCTTGTCAATTGTTGTTGGTTTATTTCTAACATTTTTTTTAGTTCACTTCCTCTCTGTTTTTCTTGCATTCGATATCCATTCAGGCGCTCTTTCATTGTCTCCAGTTCTTTCTGGCTTATTTCTATCTGACTTTCCATTTCAGTAACTCCAGCTGTAACTCGCTGTTGCTCTTCTTTTAATTGTTCTTCTTGTCCTTGAAATCTAATTAGTTGTTCCATAACTACTGTTGATTCATTCTCGCTTTCCTTAAGCTGACTTTGCAGCCCAGTAACTCGCTGTTGTTTTTCTCTCGGTGTTTCTTCCTGTTTATTAAATTCAACCAGTTCTTCTTCCAATTCGAGTTCGTTTGTATTTAACAGACACTGCAGCTGAATAACTCGCTTATGCTGCCATGTTGGACGTTCACCTTGATTTTCAATTTCGTTTGTCTGTTCTCCCATGAATACATGCAACTGTTGCCTGATGATTTCTAACTGACTTTGCAGATGTGAAACTCGTTCTTGGTTGTCTTCTCTTAATAGCTCACTTTCTCTTTTAAATGCAGTCAATCGTACTGTAATTTCCCCCAAATCGTGCCTGCTTGTTTCTAATTGATTTTCCAACTCGGTTACACGTTGTCTTTCCTCTCTGAGAAGTTCGTCTTGCTTCTCGTATTCATGCATTTGTTCTCTCGCCAATGCTATGTTTCGTCGGTTTGTTTTTAACTGACTTTGCAGTTCATTCCGTCGCTGCCGTTCTACTCTAAGCAGTGTTTCATATTCCATGCCTTCATCTAATTCAGTTTTTCTTTCGGTCGTCAGCTCTTGCTTGTTTGTCTCCAACTGATTTCGCAGTACAGCAACTCTTTGTTGCTCCTGTCGTAGTATTTCATCCTGTGCATGAAATTCATTCGATTTTTCTCTCATTTTCGTCAACTCATTTCTGAGACCTTCTGACTTATTTTGCACTAGATCAGCAATTTGTTGTGGTTCCTCTCCTACAAGTTCGTCCTTTGCAAGTAAATCGTTCAGTTGTTCTTTCATTCTCGTCAACCCTGTGTTCACCTCTTGTAGATCTGTTCTTAACTGATTCCCATGCAGTTCAAAAACTTGTTGTTTTTCCTCTTTTATTTGCTCTTCCTTTCCGTGAATTCCATTCTCTTGCCCGGCCTCTTTTGTGCAGTCATGTTGGTATATTTCTGAGTGATTGTGCAGTCCCGCAGTTCGTTCAGGTTGTTCTTGACGTTCTTCTCTTAGTAGGTCTTTCTGTCCAAGAAATGAATTCAGCTGTTCTCTCATTCTTGTCACTAATTCTTGTTGTTTTGTTTCTAGTTGACTTTGCAGTTGAATATCTAGTTGTTGTTGCTCTCTTAAATATTTGTCCTGTTCATAGAATTCATCGATTTGTTCGGTCATTCTCGTCTGCTCTTGTTGGTCCAACTCTACTGACTGATGGTGTAGTTCAGTAACTTGGAGTTGTTCTCCTCTCTTCGCTGCCCATTCATACTGATTTTGTTCTAGCTCTTCTTGATGCTCTGCTTCACTGAGAGCGGATTGCCCCGTTGCTGTCAGTTCAAACTGACCTGCCGTTTCTACTTGACTTTGAAGTTCGCAATCTCGACTTCCTTCTTTCTTTAACTTGCCGCGTTTAACGTGCTGATTTGTTCCCGCCTGGCTTTGATGTTTGCCTTTTTCTTGAGCCAAATGGTTCGTATGCTCTCCCAGAGTTAAAATTTCTCCTTTATTTTTCTCTGACATCCTTAGTAAGTAATTAAATTTGTTTAGTTGCTCATTGTTTTTGCAGTCTTCAGCGCCTAGTATGCCTTCTTGGTCTTTCTCGTCCTCATCCGCACTCGTTGCACCAAATTGTGGGCCTTGCGATAAAGCCAACTGTAGTTTAATCAATCCTTCACTTATCTTTCGTAATCTTTCCTCGTGAGTATCTTGCTCTGTGTTACGGACGCTGCAGTTTCAACAAAGAAGGGAAAAATCTTCTTATACGAGATGCTTCTTGTCTAGAGAAGGCTGATCCAAAGCCGGGGTCTGTTAGACTTACTCAGTTTCCTAGGGGGAAGAGTTGAACATGTTACGTTGATATATAGCATTCAGAAAGCTGTTCAGACTCTCAGTCAAGGTTTCTTAGCTTTGAATGTTCAAACGAACTTTCTTTTTTAAGGTAACTTGTCACTGACTTGTTCAATGGTACTCTGTCTATTCATCGTTACCTTCCAGCCGTTCCATTTATCCTGAAAACTGAGCTTCAAACAAAAGCTAGTAAACTGGTGCAGTACAATATCCTAGAGAATTTTCGAAGATGAACGAGGCCTCTTGACGGCGCAAGTTCACGGTATTTTTTATTATTTTGCATCGTTTCCGTTAATTACGAAGTTTAAAATACAAACAAGACGCTATGGGAGCGAGCAATTCGGCGCCGTGGTTGTGGAATTAATTGTGAATGTGGAGGAATAGTAAGAAATCATATTTTTCCGGATACCCTTCCGTAAAAATACCCACTACTTTTCTTTTTTGAGTAACAAGACGTCTAGGTGCATGACCGCGTGTCGATTATAATTTCTGTCATTAATAAATTGCACACGACAAGATCTCAGTTCCACTTCTTTTATTTCCTCTACAACAACACTTTCCTTATGTACTGTTAACTCCACACCTTCTCTAGCAACGTAACTAACATCAGTACACTCCTTTACAAAACTTGCTGAAAATGCACAATCTCCTCTCCGATGATAATTCAAATACAACATCGCATCATAAGCTTTAAGAAATTATTAAATGAAAAGCAATAAAACGTAATAGAAAAACAAGTATAAAAACACCTACTCTTCCAAACAAAACCAGAAGAAGAACAATGAACCGTTACAAATCACGGAAACTACGTTTTGCTTCTCCTTGTTGACAATCTATCGCTCAGTCCGAATCGGTTCGTCTACACGCAACGCAAACGACCGTACCGGGGGTACTCCCATACATTACCTATACGGGTATGTGCCGCCGAACGGGGTCGTGATTTTGAAGCTCGTGATTTAGAACGGGGTATCCATTTCAGAGGCGTTTTCTAGAACGGGGTATAATATTTCGAACGCACGAAAGCTCCAGTTTTGTTAGCAGCCATTTGAAATTATTCAAGGATAGATTGCTTTTAAAAATACGGTTCAATGCGTTAACAAGCAAACTGTAGTGCCGTTGTTGCTCCCTGTGTTTTAGCGTGCAGGGCGGGCGTATTGTGGCGCGAGCCGCGAGCGCTGACTCCACCATCTTGGATAAATAGGCGCGTGGAAGTTAACCTGAGATCAGGCTTTTTTTTTATTATTTTTTTCTTTTTTTGCTTCTTTGCTTCTTTGCCTCGAGGGGAAAAAAATAACGCCTGATACATTTATTTAACAAGCCGTCAACCGCCTCCTAATTTACATAGTCTAACGTCTGCTTGACCTGTCATGTTATTAGCCAATCAGCGTTTACAAGACGGGAATCAAATTTTGGCGCGAATAATATAATGTCTCTTTTGAAATCAGTTTTAGGGAAAAGAGTTCAGATGGCGCTTCCTAAAAAAAATTTTTAAATGTGTTGTTTTTCTGATGAAATACTGCTTGCTGGAGTTGCCGTACCTTCAACAGCTACAAATAATAAAGAATTTACTGGCAAAAGCTCGTTGACTTCGTTCTGTGCCGAAAGCAGTGAAAAAAAAATTAGGCTGAAGCACTATATTTCACGAACTGAAAAGTGTTGTGAAAGCGACGATCGCTCAGAATAATTCGCAGGCTTCTGAAGGTGGAATTACAGTCAAACCTGGTCAAGATTCCATTCATGAATTGATTATTTAAAAAGTGAACCCGTTTGCCGCCTCTGTATCTTGTAACCGGTATCAAATTGCATTCAAATGATCGGTGAATTTTTGACTGCAACTTTTTAGTATACGATGAGATGGAAAATATTTCAATGGATGAAATTTCTATTTAGGCATTCTTCAAATTCAAGAAAACTGAGCCGGCAGAAATTTCAAAACGAACTCGCGTGTGTATTCACTGCTCATTTCGCAAGCAAAAATGCAGACTGAAATCCACAAGAACTAACGGATGTCGGCATTTTGGCCAATCGGAACAGCGCAAATCATCCATATTGTTTCCTATCCAATCAGAAAAAAGTCCAGATTCTGGCTTTTTTACATGTGATCCGACAAAGAAATGTATCATGCCCTCTTCCCGTGAGAGACATAAAGGGATAATAGGGAGAGGGCATGACCTCAGGCTACGTGGAAGTCTGAAGCGAGTCCATAATGTACCCGAGGGAGATGGAGACGGGCTCAAAAGAAAGGGACGGTGGAGGAGAAGGAAAATCGTTAGCTTACGGCCCATTTCTGGAACGGGGTATCAGTTTTAGGGCGAATTCTAGAACGGGGTACAAAAAATTGGCCCATTTCTAGAACGGGGTATCAATTTTAGGGGGAATTTTTTTTAGAACGGGGTGCCAATTTGGAGTCCTGGGCGGCGCATACCCACCCCAAAAATACCCAAGGCCCCCCCGCCCCCCCGGCGACCGTGCCACTTCCTCGATCTTCCTCTTTCGAATCACTCTTGCTGCAATAATCTCCAGTAATCACTCTATCGTTATACACATTTCTGTCCCCCAAATTTTTTCCGTGAGAGCATGTAACTTGTGTAATCTTGACTTTCTTAAGTCTCTTAAAACCGATTTCGAGGTATCTCGAACAACTTCCGGCCTCACTTCGGAAGCAAACTGCAAGTTTATGACATTCTACTGATACTTCAGCGTCGCAAACCTTTAATACTTTGCGCTCCGCCCCAAATATTTATTCTAACCGAAAGAACTAGAAGTGATCTCGCGATATCTCCAACTCATTCCGGTGTACGTTAAATACCCAACAAGCCGACAAGTAAACTCTTTTCTCGCATTTCGTATATAACTCATCGCTATTTTTCACATCTCAAATTACCTTGCGTTATAATGGCGCTGTCAGCTAATCCGTCTGATATGGCGGGTCACACGTAAGCGGGTTCAAACCCTGGGCAAGCCACAAATAATAATTATTTATTCTTTATTTCTTCCAGAAGTAATACTTCCTCATAACTATTTCTTTCCGCTAAAAGAATAAATCACAGAATTAATTCCGAAGCAACTTCGGGACATCCGAATGCAACTTTGGAACATTCCTGAGCAGCGCGAATTAATCAGCAAAATTAAGGCCGATGGTCACACAGCTAACCAAACAATAAAGGCAGATAAAAATAAGCAAAATTTAAAGAATGCATTTTTTTATCAGTATGGCTGTAGCCATTTTGAAACAGTTTATTCCTCTTTACAGTTTAACAAGAATGGGACATTTTTCAATCAGTCTATTGCTGGTTCACATGACGTCATCAAAATTCAAAACTAAATATGAATTATCTATTCCATTGAGTTTCTACCTTTCATAAGGTATTAGAGCTGCTTAATACTAACATTTATACAAAATTTTCTCGCCGATAGGGCTCTTAGTTTTGTGATAGAGCACGGCTTGAATTTCTAAGGTTTTTGCGTGACGCAGTATTTACATGGCGGAGGAGATCTAGACAGTTGTTATGTGGGCAAAAAGTGACCTATTTGGACTTTGCTATCATTTATTAGAAACTAGAAAAAGTATTTCTTTAATGTTAACGAGTTTTTCAAAAGATGAATTCACGCTTTTCTAGTGCCTATCCGGATGGAAAGCAAAGCACGGTCATGAAAAAGATTTTCTTGTGAACAAACACCTCGAAAACAGCGCTTTTTTCGGTCTGTATACCCGCTTTGTGAAAGCGAAAGTGAACTGAGGGTTCCTCCGGCCTGTAAAGCTCCTTCTGCCGACAATATTTAGGCTTGAACGCGAGTGTGCAAAACTCGCTCCAAATAAAACTTTATATCTTTAAAATCCTTTGTTAATCGGTTTTCTTTCCCGTCTAAATGAAATTTCGACGCCGATGTCAACTGAGCACAATCAAACGAATGGAAATGAGCCTATACATCAGTTTCTTTACCCTTTTCCTTCACAAAGTGTCTGGAAACTCAGTTGTCTTCTCTATGGAACTCAGTTTTCGTCTCTCGGTAAAGCTCCTCGGTAAAGTTCCTGCTTATTAAAAACCAGAGGGGATTTTGAAACGGTGTTTACTGTTCGACCCACTTCGATCAGATAATTACGTTATAACTCATTCATGAAACTTACCTGAAAACTCCAAACCGCCAGCACATCTGACGGAATCTTGTATTCGCCTTAGTTTCCTTTAGAAGGGGAAACAAATTCAATATTTCCTCGTTTTGTTCTTGTTGTGGCCGACACCCGCGCGCTAAAGAAACGCAGAAGACCAAACCATGCAACTTCGCGGAAGTTTAATGGACCTTGTGACCTTTCGATTCTCGGAATTTCAGTCACGTTAACACCACAGTAGAAGAGCACCCTTGTTTTTCAGCATTCTTGCACCACCCATTATCAGGGGGAAAACAATTAGAGTGGAACCTCGTTAATGAGACCACCGTTGGGCCAGAAAATCCTGGTCGTAATACCAAGGTGGTCACATGAACGGGGTCTTCATAATAGTAAACTGACTCAGTGATTTTTACGTTTGGGTCGAAAAAATATGGTCGTAATAACGAGGTGGTCGCATAAACGAGAGGGTCGTAAGACGGGGTTCCACTGTAATGTCCGAGATCGATGCACATATTTGCCGGCAGCAAAATGAGTCATAGAGAAGCAGCAGCTATTTCAATCCTGGTCATGCAGGTTCCGTCAAGGTCTTTCCTTTATTTTAGGCATATGCTTAAGGTGCTGTAGGTTGCGTTTTGAACCACAATAACGTTTTTTTCTCTGATACGTAGAAGTAGCAATATCTTGCCCGTAGAATACCATGTGACAGTAAAACGGCAAAGCCATAACAAGTGAAATTTAAAAGCGGACTGCCAGAAGCGAGCTGGATTAATGCAGAATAACAAGAAACCCTAATAAAGTAAAAACCTCGCTTGGTCCTACGCCTGATTCAAAAATGATAACTGTGGGCTTAGGCTTTATTCCCATAAAGTATAGCGATAAGATCATATTCCAATTTTCAGATGCTTAGCAACTCTCAGTAGCTGCTTCCACGTGTAGTAACAATTTCCTTTAATTTTTTTATTCATGTTGTTATTGGACATATACATATATTTTCAGTTTGCTGTGATAGTTAAGTTTAAGTCAGGTGTAATGCGCAATTGATCACTATATCAATTATTAAATATTAGTATAAACTAAAACAGTGGATAGTGTTTTTCGCGCGCTCTGATTGGCTACTCAATCAGTGAATATCCTGCACTATTCACTGATTCACCTCCAGTTCCTCCTAGCGAGCGACGCCAAACTCGCGTAAGTTGCGAGCAAAATGCCTTCCCGGTTTGCTGCCGTAACAAACAAGGAAATTTCACAACTAATCAAGCAAGTTGTTCCCGAAATACACGAAGAAGGAGACGAAGTTCGGTTTGGAAGTTTTAACAGGTAAAGCTTTGTCTTTTTTACTTAAATTTATGACATTTATCGATAAAACCTGTGAAAAAGTTTTTTGTTTACAAATGCAAATTAAGCGTTACTTTATTTAGTTGAGTTGTTCAAAAATAAGCTTAAAACTAAAATTAACAATCGTTTTTACAGAATGATTTTAAATACAAAAAGAATCCACGACTGCTTTTGAAGAAATTTCCCCGCAAGAGCTAAACAAATGCCTTCAAAAGTCAGTTTATTTGTCTGCAAGAAAAAGCGACGACCGTGGCTGTTCGGTCATTGCGCGCCAAAATTGTAATCGTTTGCAACGGTAAATGAGTTAAAAATCATCAGTTTTTTGCTCAATTATCTCACTGTTTTAGTATATACTAAAAGAATTATTCACCTCAGTGTCGGTGGCTAAATAACCACCACTAGCCACCTCCTCTTCGGTGAATAATTGTTATTTATTATCATTAGGTTAGCAGCAACCCCACCGATTCCGGCAGTATCATAGCTTCTGAAACTAATCCCCTTAGTCCTATACATGGGTCCAGTCACACAAATTTGCGCGTTCTAACACATCAACCCGATAACAATCGAATATGTGACTCGTTATGGCCTGAAACACTGTTAAGTGACTGTCGTACATGAGTAATATTTGCTTGATGTCTTTGGGATGCGATATTAAAAGCGATAAAGAAACACTTCAGACAATGATTTTCTCTCTTTTAAAACTTGGATCGCTGATACAGGACTTTAGAATTCGCGATGATTTTGAAACTTCGCGAAATTCACCTTTTAAGGGACGTTTTTCCCTAATAGCTGTTCACAAGCCCCGCTCTTCCCTTCAAAAAATCAAAGCTGCACCCAGATTTTTGGGCAGTTTTGGGGATTGTGGTCATAACCTGACCAAGCCCGCCGTACCAAGCAGCACACGGCTAGAAAGCCTTGGATTGAAACTATATCCTTGCAACACGCAGCGCATGCTCAACAAAGATCTTACTTGATTTATGCAGAGTCTTTCTCGAGTATGCCAAAATGGACAAGCGAAAGAAAGGCTCTGCTGGTAGGGTAATCCCATCTAAGAGTACGAAGGAATCCTATCTCATGTAAAAAGGGAAGAAACAGATGTGAGATTGAACTCAAAAGAATACTGAATCCTTGCCTTAAAAGCACTCTTTTAGGCACATGACAAGTGTTTGGCCACAAGGCAAAGAGAGATATGCCAGTCAGGACAGAACACGAACGTTTTCATGTTTAAGTATTTTTTATAGTTAATTAACTTTGCTTAAGAGAGATTTTCATTGCAGCGAAATGAGAATGAGGTCAGGCAGAGAACTGCTATTCAAGCGAAATGGGTAACTAGCAGAGAAAATTTCTGAGTAACTTGAAATGAAATCATTTTCATTTTTCATTTTGCGACTTAAAATGAATTGGACTCAGAGGCATTGCATCAGGCTCTTATATCTATAGAGCATGCGCAGAGTTCTAAGACTCTCTTTATGTCAACATGGCTTAGTGAAATAATCAGCTTTAGGTGTGACAGTCAGAGTAGCCGGCTTATTTAGACTAAGCAAGGTGTCCTTGAAATGTTCCTTCTTGACAAAAACAAATCTCTAAATAATTATAGCGCTTTGACTTGGTGAAATATTGCCAGCGTATCAGGAAAACAATAGAAGCTTCAAAAAAAGAGGGAGTCAACTTTTCATTTTCGTTTACTCTGCCAAACCAATGACCTCCACATGCATGAAATTTGATTTGAGTAACTAGTAGACACAACAAAGTCTTCCCATCAGTAGAGGCAAAATAAAAACGAAGCGCTTGAAAATGGACCGGAATACAGCTCAAGGAATCTGGAGTCCCACTAAGGATTGGAATCCAGAATCCAAGTTCCACTGACAAAGACTAGAATCCAATATCTGAAATCCGGAATCCATGGGATTGAATTCAGAATCCAAGACTGTCTTTGATTCCTTTCATGGGGCGTTCTAATATAATGCAGCCGTGGTAATCGTAAAAGTGACGTTAAAGTACAAGCTATCTATCCAATGAAACAAAGCAGTATCATTTAATTAATTCAATATTTGTGAAAAGGGCATGAAGGAAATTTTACAAAAAGACAAATTCCTGGACTGCAACTCGTACAGGCAATAGGCCGGAAAAAAGTTCTTGCGAGCTAAAAATTCCCCTGCCCACATTACCTTTCTAATGGTCCGTCCCTAAGAATGTAAACAAATACGTACACGTAAACGCCCAGTTTTGAAAGAGTTCTGACTTCACGCGCAATGAACTCGATCTAAACCTTCTTAGCCTTCATCTCGTTTACTCTTTTCACAATCAGGTAACTGGAAGTTTAGTTCTTACCTCTAAAGGCATATACCCCGTAAACCTTCTGCTTATCAAAACCAGCAGTCGGTCTTGCTCGCCTTGAAACGGTTTGTATTATGTTTTGCCCATCCCAAAAAATAGGGCTACCTCCCGCCATCACTGTTCTCCCATCATGCACAGCTTTCTTTCTTGATTGCATTTTTTATCAACAACATTGCAAGCTTCGAAAAGAAAATGTCTGAAGCCTCTGGCAAATAGCTTACTTTACATTTGTCCAACAAACGTTGCAATTTCCTTTGTATCTTTTTTTAGAAAATCGGATCACGCAAGCTAAGTATGTCGATCGCCATTCGAGCTATTATGTGGTAAATAAAGTGTAATAAAGTCTCTAAACTGATCGTGCATTCTCGGCTCTTTTTTTATCAAAGCTCATTTTTGACTACAGAGAAGGTACATGGTGGATATCTTTCTTTTTCTTCGAAAAGTAACGCACGTGTACTAACCTTACAGCTTATGGGTTGATTTAGATCTCCATACGATTAACTACGTCTGACCCATCTCAATCAAGCTGCTCGTTACTCAGGGTGAAAAGAGAACTAACTAATCAAAGACCTCGGTCTTACTATTAAAATGTGAAAATTGTGATCTAAGGAAGGGATCCCACCAGATACAATTTACCGATAAGATCATATTTTAAAATGTTTAGCAAATCTACAAAAAAAGCTCAGAAATTCTATACTGGCGACGTCTCGCTACCCAGATCTGGGTAGAGCTTCTGATTGGTCGGGCCGGAAATTTGCTTCAACCAATCAAAAGCGCTAAAGCTGCCTTTCCTCTCCCCAGGGTCCTCTCGTTTATCTCGGAACCTGGAACAGGCTACAATAATGAACGCAAATATGTTTGTGTTTTCCCCTAGATAGGATCGTATGTAAGAGTTCTCATCATTGTGAATAGTTCGAGTATTGGTATTTTCGCTTAATCAGTTCTTTCTGACCATTTCTTGAAACCCATTCTAACTGGTCTACTCTCATTCAAGCCTTTCTCGCGCCACTCTTCCATTGTTCCACATTTCATGGCGTCAAATTAAGAAAATATCGTATGAATGTTCTATATATACAAGTAAAAAAAATAGATCATAAAAAGAAAAGTGACATATAAAAATATGTTACAAGTTAAAGAGTTTCGCACTAATAGAGTCACTCTGAGTATCAAGACTGGGCCTCAGTTCTTAGATGGATAACATTTCGTAAACGAGGCAATCAAATTTTCACTCCTTTAGAACGCGGATGAGGGTCAATTTCGCGTTCTATCCACTCTGAAAAGATGCGTTTTCAGTTAAGTACAGATCTCAAGGAGGTAATGCACTAGCCAACAGTATCCTTTTTTAGAAATAGGTTGCTTTGTATGTGGTTTTCTAACTCAATATCTAATTGGTTATTCTTTCTCTTATCGGATTTGCACATCTGAGACTTGGACTTAAAAGTTGAACAAACCACTGAAACCATTGGACAAAGAAATGTAGCGGCCACACTTTCTATGCTCTTCCACTTGGTCTCTCCAGTTCATAAATAATCATGTCCATATTTGGCCTTTCCCAAGGTTCTTGCTGTACACATCGCCTCACGAGGCCTCGACGGCAGAGGTTTCTGATCCGCTGTATTTGTCTCTCACGGTCCTCCTGGTCTGGTTGTTCTCTGATGCACATTTCACAGAGGAGGACACCAAAACTATACACATCAACCTAATTATAAAGAAACAATGTTCCAGTAAGTCATTTGCGTACAGGGTGTCAATCATTTCCTTCATCTAAAGTTTGTACCAGGCTTTATTTGTGTCCTTAAAGTGATCCACATTTTTAGTATTCGCCAGACATGATCGATTATCTTACCAAAAAAAACACTGAGGAGGGTAATGCGTAAGGGAGAGATTTTATGAAATTTAAACAATTTCAAAATTTACAAAATATTTTCATGGAAAGGAAATGAACTTTGACTGGGTGGTAAAAGCCACACAACTCCTCTTCTAATTTTTGGCGGTCTTACAATCACATATTTTGAGAAATAATCCGGAAAATGTGCCCGTTATGTAATTTGTACGTACTCTTTCGATCCTGCTAAAACTACTTTTCCAAGCATTTTTTTTCGTCTTATCTTTTGTGTTTTCTTTTGTTTCCTTCCCCAAATAAAAGAAAAAAACGTCAGCTTTCTGAAAACGGGTGTACAGTACAGATACTTATCCCATGCCATAGAGAACAGAGCCAATCAGAAAGCACATTAAACCCGCAGGCTGTATATTCTGTAGTATGCATCGGGTGGTATGTCAAAAAAAACCCGGTGATGCTTGCGGCCTCCACATTTTCCCGCCGAAAATAGAGTAGATGGAGACAGCCAAATTTTTTTCCTACCAACATTTCCAGAAGCAAGTTTGTAAACAACACTAGTATTAACTACCATTCGGAATTCTTGGTCAAAGTTAAAAATGTATTACAGTAAGAAAACAAACAGACTATAACGGACAAAGAAGTTTAACGAGTTGCTAACTGAGAGCAGCAAAAACAAACCAGTTACTTTAGTAACCGTATTAAATATGCGAAGACCGAAATGGATCCACACTTCACGTACTTCGCAACAACAAGCCTAAATGAAATTCTGTCAGAAACATTCGGCAGCTGTCTGTCTGCCTGTCTTTCTTCAGGATGCAGGTAAAGTAGACAGAGGTGAACATGAACTTTAGTTATCCACAAGTTGTCGATCATTTGACTTTCTTCGAACTTAACTTGTGTGGAGGGGGACAGGGGGGCGGGAGCCCGGGAGAACAGGGGGCGGGAGGGGTACGGGAGACGGGAGAAGAAAGGGCGGGAAGCGGGATCTCTATGATGGCGGGAAGCGGGAGAGAAATTCCAAAAGGCAAGCTTTCGTTAATTGTTACTGCTCATCATCCAGTCAAAGAAACGAACTCAACAACGTTTCTTGACTTCCGTTTAACGTTCTCCGAGGCCCTAAATCAAAATTTTAATGCGAGAAAAGTCAAAAAACGTAAATTCGCACACGGGATTGAAAAAAGAGCATTACTTCTGGTGAAATTGGAAACCTTTCCAAGTCGGTTACATCATAGGTCACGAGTCCTCATGAATGAGGTGGCGTGACACATGTACACGTGTGTCGACTGTGTAAGTCGTGTCAGTGTCTCGTCTGTTTGACCTGTCTCGCAGGTAATGCACCTATCAATGTAAAGGCGGAGGGGGGGGGGGGCAGGGCATAGGGTGGGATTTGATTGTCTTTGTTGTCCCTGGGGTAGGGCATTTGACTGATCTTGTTCTCCCGGGGGAGAGGATATTTGAATCTTTCTTCGCCCGACGTGGAGATATTTGACTGCCGACTCGCACGAAAAAGACTGAGACCGAACATGTGTTTCCCGCTTCTACGCTTCACGCACGCACCATACGGTTTGAAAAGATCAGGAAGTCATGGAGGCCAATGAGAGCAAGCGAAGGCTGAGTGGACTTCACTGTTTTGTCTTCAAATTTCGTTTGTTTTAGGGTGTTTTTGATCAATTGAACCTGTTAATATAATGTGGTATCAAAGTAAACGGAAGTAAAGAGAAACCGAGCCGATTTTTGCAAGTGCAGTTGATTAGTGTATGGCTCGTTCGCTACAATCACTGATAAAACTGACTTTGTTTGTACCCTTTACTAAGAACGGTATATCTAGACTTACAAAATGTGGACTTTCTCCTAAAGGTTTATGTATTCTACCCAGTGTGACACGGATTATGGTTAAAACGTATAATTGCAGCTGTAACAGGAACATGTATCTTTGGTGATGTAGCAACGTTTATAAAAGATTGCAGAGTTTTATTTGGAGATATTTTTATTGTGCCTTTCTTAGGTTCTGCCTTGGGACTGACAGCAATGTGCAGCCTGGGGTGGGGAAATTTGGTTGCATTTGACTGGAATGATTTGCCCGTGGGCAGGGAATTTGATTGCAAATTTTGGAAAAAAGTCAAATCCCCACCCTGTGCCCTTCCTCCCCCCCCCCCCGCCGGCATTACATTGATAGGTGCATAAAATGTCGTCAAAGACCATTTTAATCGGTCTAAGTATTTTTCGGTGTGGTGTGGAAAAATCCGTACATGGAAGACCTTCCTGGGAGCTCGCTCCGTAAGATTGTAGTTTGCAAAACACTAAAGATTTTACGGCGTGGTGCAAACTTGTGTCCAGGGAATGCAAATTCACTGATCGCGCTGGAGAGTGCGGAGTGGTTAGATATACAACGCAATTTTTTGTTTTGGATAAGGCCAAAGCACTGCCTATTAGAATAGGAAGTCAAACAGCGTGGGACGCTGTCCGGTTGGACTTCATAGATAACAAAGATTACGAACTGCACGGTAGGTGTCATTTCCTAGCACTTTGCACTGTAATTTTAGAAAAGTTCCCTCGACTCGGAGGAAGAGGAGGCAGACTTTACTGCTCTAACTAACATTTGGAGTAGGAGCTGAGGAGATCAGTGCGACCTCCTCGGCGCATGGAAGACTTTTTCTAGTTTGTTTACTGTAGCAAAATACGGGCACTTTTTACACATATTGCAACCTGTTCCCTGTCCTGTTATTTAACTTGTAATAAGCCAATAAGAGCAGAGCATTCGTTTCTTCAAATGCTTCTTGTTAAAATCGGACATAGATGCATCATTCCGATGTAAAAATGTATGTATAACCGTTAAACCTCCCCGCCGATGTTTGATGAAAGATACAACTTCTCGAGCAAATATGAATAGGTTTGAGATTTGATAACCAGATAACAATAATACTCCACCAGCACTAAACTGAACGCTTTAAAATGCAAACGGTTAACGAACATGCAATTATTGTCTCGTTGAAGTCAGTTTTTATAGCTTACGACTTCTTACGAAAAATAACGAAAACTAACCGCGGTGGATATGCAATTAGTACAATTAGACGCTGGGAACTAGACAGGAGTACTGAACTCTATCGTAACGTTTGGCCCTTCGACTTCATTTTGGCATGATCCCCGTAATTTCGGGATTCCTAAATGCATGTTAATGCATCTTTGATGACTGCAATAGCTATTACACTGCACAGTGGACTGAGACTATTGTCGCTGTAGTGGGATGTCAGAAGCGGTGGTCAAACCTAGATAACCAGGTTAGTGAAAACTCAGTTTAACTAAGAAAACTGACTTGTAACAATTTTCATCTTTGGCAAATTACCCTACAGCTTTAACACTAAACCCGGGCTTCTGATCTTTATAATTTACATGATGACGGGAAAAATACAATAAAGGGCGGGAGTCGGGAGACAAAGGAACAAAAAGGTACGGGAGGCGGGAGAACGGGGTACGGGAAGCGGGAGGTTGTCACCCCCCTGTCCCCCCCCACTGTTTAGTTGCTGGAAATCTTACTGTCCTTATTACAGACTGTCCTCGCTGGCAGAGGTTTTGCGTAAAAGAACGATTCTATAAAAAGCCTTAAAGTCCACCAAGCTGTGAACCAGACCTTAAAAAGAAGGTGGAAGCTCCAGGTGGATGTGCTCCTTGTTTTATTTTTTTTTTTTTCAGAACTGCTGATTTAATAATTAGAAATTTATTCGAGGAGATCTTATTTAACACCATCTTATTTATTTTTACGTCAAGAACCTGTAACTTCATTCAGTCCTCTTGGTAAATCAGGTCCATGCAAGAAGAAATAAATGATTATAATATCTTATTAAAAACATAGCTATTACATGCTTACCTGCATCGATGTTAAGTTCATCTTCCATAGTATACGTTTAAGTTTGTCCAGCTCTGCAAATATTCTCCAAATAGCAGATGTCGCCCTCCGAGTTGTCTTCTTACTGTTTTTGCCATGTTTTTAGCTATTATTTCGCCTAGTCCCAGCTGTAGTTCTTACTCTCAAAAAAAGTGAAATGTCCGCCATTTTTTTTTCACAACCAAAAACAACTCAACCTCGTCCCCAGGTGTTCTCGGTAATGGTGCCTTAACCTGTAGCAACCTGTAGCGGACTGCATTTTTGACGTCATTTCCTCGTTAAACACAAAATTCTTCCAAATTTGGTCATCAGTAACTGGTTATGGTAAATTATGCGTGTGCTTTCAGCCAATCAGAATTGGGGAAATATTTTGAATGAATAATAATATTTATTATTCATTCAAAGTATTTCCCCAGGAGTATTTCCCCGATTCTGATTGGCTAAAAGCACACGTTTAATTCACCATAACCAGTTATTGATGACCAAATTTGGAAGAATTTTGTGTTTAGCGAGGAAAATGCAGCGTTTTTGTAGGTTAATGCATCGCTAACCGAGAAGACCAGGGGACGAGGTTGAGTTGTTTTGGTTGTGGAAACAAAAATGGCGCACAGTTCACTCGTTTCAAGAGTAAAAACTAGGCGATATAATAGCTAAAAACATGGCAAGAACAGCGAGAAGACAACTCGAAGGGCGACATCTGCTATTTGGAGAATATTTGCGGAGCTGAACAACCCTAAACGTGCACTATCGAAGATGAACTTAACATCGATGGTCGATGGAGGTAAGCATGTTTTAGCTATGTTTTTAAACTAGAAATTATTTTGAATGAATAATAAAACAATTATTGAATTCGGCTTTTGTATCATATGAAGAATTATGGAGATCTCGGAGGGTGTTGATCCGCCTCGGCCGTACCCTCCTCGATCTCCATAATTCTTCATAAGATACTCAGCCTCATTCATTAATTATTAAATATTATCTTGTCACCAAGCGTTTCTATTATTCCAAGTTTGCGTTTTGCGTTCTTGATGCATTTTACCAGGCTCATGTCACGTATGATCAAAATGGCATTATTCTGATTATTTTTTGGCCAAGAGATTAAAGAAGTCTTTAAAAAGCACTAAAAAAATCCCATCTGCCACCCTTCGAGCATTAAATAACGACAAATATAAAACACGTATGATTCAAATCTCACATATACAGGGTTAAATTACAGGAACTAGTGCAACCATTTTACCCCCGAGGTGACTAACCAAGATCACGCAAAAAGGTGACGTTTTTAAAATGAATGTCACTGACCTTGCTGGTGGGTCGATTACTTTTTTTATCCAAGTACTCGGGTGCACAATAGATCCCAGCGCCTACGTCATTTATTGTGCTCTGATGTAAAAAATTAATACTGCCATAATCAGCTACTTTGGCTCTCCATCGGTCACCTTGTCGCCGTAGTAACACATTAGCACTACTGATATCATTGTGAATCATAGGCTCTCGCTTCTTGTGCAAATAATTGAGAGCTCGAGCTACGTCCAGTGAAATGGCACAAATTTCCGTGGCAGAGAGAGGTGGTTCTGCATAAAGCCTAGTTCGTAAACTGCAATCCATAATTTCTGTTACCAGCATAGGGCTTTCGTCATCGGATGTAAAGGCAGTCGCACCAATAAACTGTAACAAACAAGGATGACGACATTTCAAGGCAATTGCGATTTCCCTTTCAAACAAACTTCGGTTGTGAACAGACACTATTGCTTGGTGCATTTTTTTTACGGCAACATTGCAACCAAGATATTTTCCTCGAAAAACAACTCCATAAGCCCCTCGTCCGAGCTCTGTTTCCTCTAGTGAAATTTCACTCCTATCAATAATCCCATCAACAAAGCAAGTTTGCAGTTCAGAAGTTCGTCGTTGTTCCGTTCCTTTATGTCGTCCATATAGTCTTGCTACGCTATTTAACTGATCTCTTCTTGTCGTCAGTTCTTGTGGTAATATTTGATTCTCCAATTCGTGAACTCTTTGTTGATACTCTCTTAATCGTTCACCTTGTCTTTGAAACTCGTTTTCCAACTCTCTAAATCTCCTCAGCTCTTCATGGCTTCTGTATAACAGATTTTGTAGCTCAAAGACTAGTTGATTTTGCTCCCTTAAACGCTCTTCTTGTCCTTGAAATCCACTGAGCAGCTCTCTCAATCTAGCCAAGTCTTGTTGCTTTGATTCTAACTGACTTTGCAGTTCAAGAACTCGTCGTTTTTCCTCCCTTAGAAGTTCTCGGTCCTCTTTATGCAGCTTTCTCTCTCTTGCCAAGTCTTGCTGATTTGCCTCTGCCTGATTTTGAAGTTCAACAACGCGTTTTTGTTCCTTTCTTAAAAGCTCTTCTTGTCGTTGAAGCTGCTCTCTCAATTTCGCTAAGTCTTGTTGTTTTTTTTCTAACCGAATCTGCTGTTTGTTAACTCGTTGTTGTTCCTCGCGTAGCAGCTCTTTTTGTCCTTGAAATCCACTGAGCTGCTTTCTCAATCTCGCCAAGTCTTGTTGGTTTGATTCTAACTGACTTTGCAGTTCAAGAACTCGTCGTTGTTCGTCCCTTAAAAGTTCTCGGTCCTCTTTATACAGCTTTCTCTCTCTTGCCAAGTCTTGCTGATTTGCCTCTACCTGATTTTGAAATTCAAGGACGCGTTTTTGTTCCTCTCTTAAAAGCTCTTCTTCTCGTTGAAGCTGCTCTCTCAATTTCGCTAAGTCTTGTTGGTTTTTTTCTAACTGAATCTGCTGTTTAATAACTCGTTGTTGCTCCTCGCGTAGAAGCTGTTTTTGTCCTTGAAATCCACCGAGCTGCTCTCTCAATCTAGCCAAGTCTTGTTGGTTTGATTCTAACTGACTTTGCAGTTCAGGCACTCGTCGTTGTTCCTCCCTTAGACGTTCTCCGTCCTTTTTATATAACTTTATCTCTCTTGCCAAGTCTTGTTGATTTGCTTCTACCTGATTTTGAAGTTCAAGAACGAGTGTTTGTTTCTCTCTAAGAAGCTCTTCTTTTCGTTGAAGCTGCTCTCTCAATCTCCTTAAGTCTTGTTGGTTTGTTTCTAACTGAAGCTGCTGTTTTATAACTCGTTGTTGTTCCTCGCGTAGAAGCTCTTTTTGTCCTTGAAATCCAATCAATTGTTCTCTCATTCTTGTCAAATCTTGTAGACTGTCTTCTAACAGAATCTGCAGTTTAATGATTAGCTGTTTTTTTTCTAGCTCAAAACAGTGTTTTTTTCGATCAAAAAGTCGTTGTTGTTCCATTCTTATTATCTCTTCCGTTTTCTCAAGTCCATTCAATTGATCTCTTATTCCCTTAGACCTAAGCTGGCTTGTTATTAACTGAATTTGGAGGTCAAAACCTCGCTTTTGTTCCTTTTGTAGTAAAAATTCGTGAAATTCATGTAGCTGTTCCCTCATTGTTCTTAACTCTTGTTGATTTGTTTGTAACTGATTTTGCATTTCCCTAAGTCGTTGCTGTTCCTCTTTCAGTAATTTTTCTTGTTCGTGAAATTCAAGCAGTTGTTTCCTCGTTCTTTTTACCTCTTGCTGCCCTGTTTCTTTTAGAATTTGCAGTTCAGTGACTCGTTGTTGTTCCTCTTTCAGTAATTCCTCTTGTTCATTGAATTCATTCAGTTGTTTTCTCATTCCCTTCACTTCTTGCTGGCTTGTTTCTAGCTGATTTTGCAGCAGTTGCTGTTGTTTCTGTTCATAAAATTCATTCAGTTGCTCCCTCATTTTCGTCACCTCTTGTTGGCTTGTTTTCAACTGACTTTTCAGTTTACAAACTCGTTGTTGCTCGTTTTCAAGTACTTCTTCCTTTTTACCAAGTTCAATCTGTTCTCTCATTCTCGTTAGTTCATGCTGGTTTGTTTGTAAGTGCAGCTCAGTAACTTGTTGTTCTTCCACCTCTAATCCATTGAGTAGTTCTGTCATTCTCTTTAATTCCCTTTGCTTGTTTTCTAACTTCCTTTTTAGTTCATTATCTATTTCCTGCTCCTTTGTTAACTGTTTAGCTTCTATTTGAAATTCATTCAGTAGTTTTCTAATAGCTCGTTGATGTTCCTCTGTTAATTGTTCACCTTTCTGTTGATATCCATTTAGTTGTTCTTGCATTACTGATCGATCAAGTTCCATTACTTCAAGATGACTTTCCAGTTCAATTACTCTATTATGTTCCTCCCTCAGTAGTTTTCCCTGTTCATGAAATTCGTTCAAATGATCTCGTATTGTTATCAGCTCTTGTTGGCTTGTTTCTAACTGATTTTCTAGTTCAGAAGCTCTTCTTTGTTCCTCTCTCAACTCTTCACTTTGTCTTTGGAATTCATTCAGCTGTTCTCTCATTCTTCTCAGTTCTTCCTGGTTTTCTTCTAACTTAGCTAGGAGTGTAACAACTCGTTGATGTTCTTCTGTTAATTGTTTACCTTGTTGTTGATATCCATTTAGTTGTTCTTCCATTACTGCTCGATCAAGTTCCAGTACTTCAAGTTGACTTTCCAGGTCAATTACTCTATTATGTTCCTCTCTCAGTAGTTCTCCCGGTTCACGAAATTCGTTCAAATGATCTCGTATTGTTATCAAGTCTTCTTGGCTTGTTTCTAACTGATTTTGTAGTTCAGAAGCTCTTCTTTGTTCCTCTCTCAACTCGTCACTTTGTCTTTGGAATTCATTTAGCTGTTCTCTCATTCTTCTCAGTTCCTCCTCGTTTTCTTCTAACTTAGCTTGGAGTGTAACAACTCGTTGATGTTCCTCTGTTAATTGTTCACCTTGTTGTTGATAACCATTTAGTTGTTCTTCTATTGCTGCTTGATCAAGTTCTGTTACTTTAAGAAGACTTTTTAGTTCAATAATTCGATCATGTTTCTCTGTTAGTATTTCCTCCTGTTCATGAAATTCGTTCAATTGATTTTGTTTCGTTATTAGCTCTTGTTGGCTCGTTTCTAACTGATTTTCTAGTTCAAAAGCTCTTCTTTGTTCCTCTCTCAACTCTTCACTTTGTCTTTGGAATCCATTCAGCTGTTCTCTCATTCTTCTCAGTTCCTCCTCGTTTTCTTCTAACTTAGCTTGGAGTGTAACAACTCGTAGATGTTCCTCTGTTAATTGTTCATCTTGTTGTTGATATCCATTTAGTTGTTCTTCCATTACTGCCCGATCAAGTTCCATTATTTCAAGATGACTTTCCAGTTCAATTACTCTATTATGTTCCTTCCTCAGTAGTTTTCCCTGTTCATGAAATTCGTTCAAATGATCTCGTATTGTTATCAGCTCTTGTTGGCTTGTTTCTAACTGATTTTCTAGTTCAGAAGCTCTTCTTTGTTCCTTTCTCAACTCTTCACTTTGTCTTTGGAATCCATTCAGCTGTTCTCTCATTTTTCTCAGTTCCTCCTGGTTTTCTTCTAACTTAGCTTGGAGTGTAACAACTCGTTGATGTTCCTCTGTTAATTTTTCACTTTGTTGTTGATAACCATTTAGTTGTTCTTCCATTGCTGCTTTATCAAGTTCTGTTACTTTAAGTAGACTTTTCAGTTCAATAATTCGATCATGTTTCTCTCTTAGTAGTTCCTCCTGTTCATGAAATTCGTTCAGTTGATCTCGTTTTGTTATTAGCTCTTGTTGGCTCGTTTCTAACTGATTTTCTAGTTCAAGAGCTCTTCTTTGTTCCTCTCTCAAGTCTTCACTTTGTCTTTGCAATCCATTCAGCTGTTTTCTCATTTTCTTTAGTTCCTCTTGGTTTTCTTCTAACTTAGCTTGGAGTGTAACAACTCGTTGAAGTTCCTCTTTTAATTGTTTCTCTTCCTGTTGATATCCATTTAGCTGTTCTTCCATTACTGCTCGATCAAGTTCCATTACTTCTAGATGACTTTCCAGTTCAATTACTCTATTATGTTCCTCCCTCAGTAGTTTTCCCTGTTCATGAAATTCGTTCAAATGATCTCTTATTGTTATTAGCTCTTGTTGGCTTGTTTCTAACTGATTTTCTAATTCAGAAGCTCTTCTTTGTTCCTTTCTCAACTCTTCACTTTGTCTTTGGAATCCATTCAGCTGTTCTCTCATTCTTCTCAGTTCCTCCTGGTTTTCTTCTAACTTAGCTTGGAGTGTAACAACTCGTTGATGTTCCTCTGTTAATTGTTTCCCTTCCTGTTGATATCCATTTAGTTGTTCTTCCATTACTGCTCGATCAAGTTCCATTATTTCAAGATGACTTTCCAGTTCAATTACTCTATTATGTTCCTTCCTCAGTAGTTTTCCCTGTTCATAAAGTTCGTTCAAATGATCTCGTATTGTTATCAGCTCTTGTTGGCTTGTTTCTAACTGATTTTCTAGTTCAAGAGCTCTTCTTTGTTCCTCTCTCAAGTCTTCACTTTGTCTTTGCAATCCATTCAGCTGTTTTCTCATTTTCTTTAGTTCCTCTTGGTTTTCTTTTAACTTAGCTTGGAGTGTAACAACTCGTTGATGTTCCTCTGTTAATTGTTTCCCTTCCTGTTGATATCCATTTAGTTGTTCTTCCATTACTGCTCGATCAAGTTCCATTACTTCAAGATGACTTTCCAGTTCAATTACTCTATTATGTTCCTCCCTCAGTAGTTTTCCCTGTTCATGAAATTCGTTTAAATGATCTCTTATTGTTTTCAGCTCTTGTTGGCTTGTTTCTAAATGATTTTGTAGTTCAGAAGCTCTTCTTTGTTCCTTTCTCAACTCTTCACTTTGTCTTTGGAATCCATTCAGCTGTTCTCTCATTCCTCTCAGTTCCTCCTTGTTTTCTTCTAACTTAGCTTGGAGTGTAACAACTCGTTGATGTTCCTCTGTTAATTGTTTCCCTTCCTGTTGATATCCATTTAGTTGTTCTTCCATTACTGCTCGATCAAGTTCCATTACTTCAAGATGACTTTCCAGTTCAATTACTCTATTATGTTCCTCCCTCAGTAGTTCTCCCTGTTCATGAAATTCGTTTAAATGATCTCGTATTGTTATCAGCTCTTGTTGGCTTGTTTCTAACTGATTTTCTAGTTCAGAAGCTCTTCTTTGTTCCTCTCTCAACTCTTCACTTTGTCTTTGGAATTCATTTAGCTGTTCTCTCATTCTTCTCAGTTCGTCTTGGTTTTCTTCTAACTTAGCTTGGAGTCTAACAACTCGTTGATTTTCCTCTGTTAATTGTTTACTTTGTTGTTGATAACCATTTAGTTGTTCTTCCATTGCTGCTTGATCAAGTTCCGTTACTTTAAGTAGACGTTTCAGTTCAATAATTCGATCATGTTTCTCTCTTAGTAGTTCCTCCTTTTCGTGAAATTTGTTCAATTGATCTCGTTTTTTTATTAGCTCTTGTTGGCTTGTTTCTAGCTGATTTTCTAGTTCAAAAGCTCTTCCTCTTTCCTGTCTCAACTTTTCACTTTCTCTTTGGAATGTATTCAGCTGTTCTCTTATTCTCCTCAGTTCATCCTGGTTTCCTTCTAACTTAGCTTGGAGTGTAACAACTCGTCGATGTTCCTCTGTTAATTGTTCACCTTTTGGTTGATATCCATTTAGTTCTTCTTCTATTACTGCTCGATCGAGTTCGATTACTTCAAGTTGTTTTTGCATCTCAATAATTCGATCATGTTTCTCTCTTAGTAGTTCCTCCTGTTCAGGAAATTCGTTCAGTTGATCTCGTAATGTTATCAACTCTTGTCGGTTTGTTTCTAACTGATTTTGCAGCTCAAAAACTCGTTGTCGTTCCTCTCCGAGTTGTTCATCAAGGTCTGCTAATTCGTGCCTCTTTTTTCTTAACCGACTTTGAATTTCACTAACGTTTTGTTTTTCCTTCTTTAATTGTTCGCCTTGTCTTTGAAATTTATTTAGTAGTTCTCTCATTCTCGTTAATTGTTGTCGCTTTATTTCTAACATGTTTTTTAGTTCAGTGCCTCTCTGTTTTTCATGTTCTAATTGTTTCTCCTGCATTCGAAATCCATTCAGGCGCTCTTTCATTGTCTCCAATTCTTGTTGGCTAATTTCTAACTGACTTTCCATTTCAGTGACTCGCTGTTGCTCTTTTTTTAATTGTTCTTTTTGTCCTTGATATCTATTTAGTTGTTCCATAATTACTGCCCATTCATTCTCGTTTTCCTTAAGTTGACTTTGCAGTTCAGTAACTCGCTGTTGTTTTTCTCTCAGTGTTTCTTCCTGTTTATGAAATTCAATCAGTTCTTCTCTCATTGCTGCCAATTCGAGTCCGTTTGTATCTAATAGACTCTGCAGCTGAATAACTCGTTTATGCTCCCATCTCAGACGTTCACTTTGAATTTCAAGTTCATTCGTCTGTTCTCTCATGATTAGAAACTCTTGCCGGATGATTTCTAACCGACTTTGCAAATGTGAAACTCGTTCTTGGTTGTCTCCTCTTAATAGCTCACCTTTTCTTTTAAATGCAGTTAATCGTGTTGTAATTTCCCCCAAATCGTGTTGTTCTCCTCTCTTCTCTGCCCATTCATACTGATTTTGTTCTAGCTCTTCTTGATGCTCGTCTTGATTAAGAGCGGATTCCCCGGTTGCTGTCAGTTCAAACTGACCTTTTTCTACTTGACTTTGAAGTTCGCAATCTCGACTTCCTTCTTCCATTAACTTGCCGCTTTTAACTTGCTGATTTGTTCCCGCTTGCCTTTGATGTTTGCCTTTTTCTTGAGCCGAGTAGTTCGTATGCTCTCCCAGAGTTAAAATTTCTCCTTTATTTTTTTCTGACATCCTTAGTAAGTAATTAAATTTGTTTAGTTGCTCATTGTTTTTGCATGTCTTCAGTGCCTAGTATGCCTTCTTGGTCTTTCTCGTCCTTATCCGCACTCGTTGCACCAAATTGTGGGCCTTGGGGTACAGCCAACTGTAGTTTAATCAATCCTTCACTCATCGTTCGTAATCTTTCCTCGTGAGTATCTTGCTCTGTGTTACGGACGCTGCAGTTTCAACAAAGAAGGGAAAATCGTCTGATACGAGATGCTTCTTGTCTAGAGTAGGGCTGCGTCAAAGCCGGGGATCTGTTAGACTTACTCAGTTTCCTAGGGGGAAGAGTTGAACATGTTGCGTTGATATTTAGCATTCAGAAAGCTGTTCAGACTCTCAGTCAAGGTTTCTTAGCTTTGAATGTTCAAACGAACGTTCTATTTTAAGGTAACTTGTCACTGACTTGTTCAATGGTACTCTGTCTATTCATCGTTATCTTTCAGTCCTTCCATTTATCCTGAAAACTGAGCTTCGAACAAAAGCTAGTAAACTGGTACAGTACAATTTCCCAGCGAATTTCGAGGATGAACGAGGCCTCTTAACGCCGCAACTTTACCGTATTTTTGATGATTTTGCATCGTTTCCGTTAATTACGAAGTTTAAAATACAAACAAGACGCTATGGGAGCGAGCAGTTCGGCGCCGTGCTTGTGGAATTAATTGTGAATGCCGAGGAATAGTAAGAACTGATATTTTTCCGGATACCCTTCCGTACAAATACCCCCTACTTTTCTCCTTTGAGTAACAAGACGTCTTGGCTTCTTCAACGGAAGTGGTCTAGGTGTAAGGCCGCGTGTCGATTATAATTTCTGTCATAAATAAATTGCACACGACAAGATCTCAGTTCCACTTCTTTTATTTCCTCTACAACAACACTTTCCTTATGTACTGTTGACTCCACACCTTCTCTAGCAACGTAACTAACATCAGTACACTCCTTTACAAAACTTGCTGAAAATGCACAATCTCCTCTCCGATGATAATTCAAATACAACATCGCATCATAAGCTTTAAGAAATTATTAAATGAAAAGCAATAAAACGTAATAGAAAAACAAGTATAAAAACACCTACTCTTCCAAACAAAACCAGAGAAAGAACAATGAACCGTTACAAATCACGGAAACTGCTTTTTGCTTCTCCTTGATGACAATCTATCGCTCAGTCCGAATCGGTTCGTCTACACGCAACGCAAACGACCGGGGGGTACTCCCATACATTACCTATACGGGTATGTGCCGCCCAACGGGGTCGTGATTTTGAAGCTCGTGATTTAGAACGGGGTATCCATTTCAGAGGCGTTTTCTAGAACGGGGTATAATATTTCGAACGCACGAAAGCTCCAGTTTTGTAAGCAGCCATTTGAAATTATTCAAGGACAGATTGCTTTTAAAAATACGGTTCAATGCGTTAACAAGCAAACTGTAGTGCCGTTGTTGCACCCTGTGTTTTAGCGTGCAGGGCGGGCGTATTGTGGTGCGAGCCGCGAGCCCTGACTCCACCATCTTGGATAAATAGGCGCAAGGAACGAGTCCATAATGTACCCAAGGGAGATGGAGACAGGCTCAAAAGAAAGGGACGGTGGAGGAGAAGGAAAATCGTTAGCTTACGGCCCATTTCTGGAACGGGGTATCAGTTTTAGGGCGAATTCTAGAACGGGATACAAAAAATTGGCCCATTTGTAGAACGGGGTATCAATTTTAGGGGAAATTTTTTTTAGAACGGGGTGCCAATTTGGAGTCCTGGGCGGCGCATACCCACCCCCGTCGACCTTGCCACTTCCTCGATCTTCCTCTTTCGAATCAATCAATCTTGCTGCAATAATCTCCAGTAATCACTCTATCGTTATACACATTTCTGTCCCCCAAATTTTTTCCATGACAGCATGTAACTTGTGTAATCTTGACTTTCTTAAGTCTCTTAAAACCGATTTCGAGGTATCTCGAACAACTTCCGGCCTCACTTGGGAAGCAAACTGCAAGTTTATGACATTCTACTGATACTTCAGCGTCGCAAATCCTTTAATACTTTGCGCTCCGCCCCAAATATTTATTCTAACCGAAAGAACTAGAAGTGATCTCGCGATATCTCCAACTCATTCCGTAAACTCTTTTCTCGCATTTCGTGTATAACTTATCGCTATTTTTTACATCTCAAATTACCTTGCGTTATAATGGCGCTGTCAGCTAATCCGTCTGATATGGCGGGTCACACGTAAGCGGGTTCAAACCCTGGGCAAGCCAGAAATAATAATTATTTATTCTTTATTTCTTCCAGAAGTAATACTTCCTCATAACTATTTCTTTCCGCTAAAAGAATAAATCACAGAATTAATTCCGAAGCAACTTCGGGACATCCGATTGCAACTTTGGAACATTCCTGAGCAGCGCGAATTAATCAGCAAAAATCAAGGCCGATGGTCACACAGCTAACCAAACCATAAAGGCAGATAAAAATAAGCAAAATTTATAGAATGCATTTTTTTTTTATCAGTATGGCTGTAGCCATTTTGAAACAGTTTATTCCTCTTTACAGTTTAACAAGAATGGGACATTTTTCAATCAGTCTATTGCTGGTTCACATGACGTCATCAAAATTCAAAACTAAATATGAATTATCTATTCCATTGAGTTTCTACTTTCATAAGGTATTAGAGCTGCTTAATACTAACATTTATACAAAATTTTCTCGCCGATAGGGCTCTTAGTTTTGTGATAGAGCACGGCTTGAATTTCTAAGGTTTTTGCGTGACGCAGTATTTACATGAAGGAGGAGATCTAGACAGCTGTCATGTGGGCAAAAAGTGACCCATTTGGATTTTGCTATCATTTATTGTCTTTATTATACTAGAAAAAGTATTTCTTAAATGTTTACGGGTTTTTCAAAAGATGAATTCATGCTTTTCTAGTGCCTATCCGGATGGAAAGCAAAGCACGGTCATAAAAAAGATTTTCCTGTGAACAAACACCTCGAAAACAGCGCTTTTTTCGGTCTGTATACCCGCTTTGTGAAAGTGAAAGTGAGCCGAGGGTTCCTCCCGCCTGTAAAGCTCCTTCTGCCGACAATATTTAGGCTTGAACGCAAGTGTGCAAAACTCCCTCCAAATAAAACTTAATATCTTTAAAATCCTTTGTTAATCGGTTTTCTTTCCCGTCTAAATGGAATTTCGACGCCGATATCAACTGAGCACAATCAAACGAATGGAAATGAGCCTATACATCAGTTTCTTTACCCTTTTCCTTCACAAAGTGTCTGGAAATTCAGTTGTCTTCTCTATGGAACTCAGTTTTCATCTCTCGGTAAAGCTCCTCGGTAAAGTTCCTGCTTATTAAAAACCAGAGGGGATTTTGAAGCGGTGTTTACTGTTCGACCCACTTCGATCAGATAATTACGTTATAACTCATTCATGAAACCTACCTGAAAACTCCAAACCGCCCGCACATCTGACGGAATCTTGTATTCGCCCTAGCTTCCTTTAGAAGCGGAAACAAATTCAATATTTCCTCGTTTTGTTCTCGTTGTGGCCGACAACCGCGCGCTAAAGAAACGCCGAAGACCAAACCATGCAACTTCGCGGAAGTTTAGTGGACCTTGTGACCTTTCGATTCTCGGAATTTCAGTCACGTTAACACCACAGTAGAAGAGCACCCTTGTTTTTCAGTATTCTTGCACCACCCATTATCAGGGGGAAAACAATTACAGTGGAACCTCGTTAATGCCACCACCGTTGGGCCAGAAAATCCTGGTCGTAATACCAAGGTGGTCACATGAACGGGGTCTTCATAACAGTAAACTGACTCAGTGATTTTTACGTTTGGGTCGAAAAAATATGGTCGTAATAACGAGGTGGTCGCATAAACTAGGGGGTCGTAAGACGGGGTTCCACTGTAATGTCCGAGATCGATGCACATATTTGCCGGCAACGAAATGAGTCATAGAGAAGCAGAAGCTATTTCAATCCTGGTCATGCAGGTTCCGTCAAGGTCTTTCCTTTATTTTAGACACATGCTTAAGGTGCCGTAGGTTGCGTTTTGGACCGCAATAACGTTTGTTTCTCTGATACGTAGAAGTGGCAATATCTTGCCCGTAGATTACCATGTGACAGTAAAACGGCAAAACCATAAAAAGTGAAATTTAAAAGCGGTGGCTGCTAGGGAAGGACGCCCAGAAGCGAGCTTGATTAATGCAGAATAACAAGAAGCCCTAATAAAGTAAAAACCTCGCTTGGTCGTACGCCTAATTCAAAAATGATAACTGTGGGCTTAGGCTTTATTCCCATAAAGTATAGCGATAAGATCATATTCCAATTTTCAAATGCGTAGCAACTCTCAGTAGCTGGTTCCACATGTAGTAACGATTTCCTTTAATTTTTTTATTCATGTTGTTATTGGACATATACATATATTTTCAGTGTGCTGTGATAATTAAGTTTAAGTCAGGTGTAATGGGCAATTGATCACTATATCAGTTATTAAATATAAGTATAAACTAAAACAGTGGATAGTGTTTTTCGCGAGTTCTGATTGGCTACTCAATCAGTGAATATCCTTCACTATTCACTGATTCACACCCAGTTCCCCCGAGCGAGCGACGCCAAAGTCGCGTATGTTGCGAGCAAAATGCCTTCCCGGTTTGCTGCCGTAACAAACAAGGAAATTTCACAACTTTATTTAGTTGAGTTGTTCATAAATAAGCTTAAAACTAAATTTAACAATCGTTTTTTACAGAATGATTTTAAATACAAAAAGAATTCACAACTCCTTTTGAAGAAATTCCCCCGCAAGAGCTAAACAAGTGCCTTCAAAAGTCAGTTTATTTGTCGGCAAGAAAAAGCGACGAACGCGGCTGTTCGGTCATTGCGCGCCAAAATTGTAATCGTTGGCAACGGTAAATGAGTTAAAAATCATCATTTTTGGGCTCAATTATCTCATTGTTTTAGTATATACTAAAACAATTATTTACCTCACTGTCGGTGGCTAAATAACCACCACCAGCCACCTCCACTTCGGTGAATAGTTTTTATTTATCGTCATTAGGTTAGCAACACCCCCACCGATTCCGGTAGTACCATATCTTCTCAAACTAATCCCCTCAGTCCTAAACATTGGTCCGGTCACACCAATTTGCGCGTTCTAACACATCAACCCGATAACAATCGAATATGTGACTCGTTATGGCCTGAAAAACTGTTAAGTGACTGTCGCACAAGAGTAACATTTACTTGATGTCTTTCACATTAATATTTCGCAAAAGTTCGAAATGGGCTCTAATTTTTGACAATTATAACGTTTTCAAATAATCAATTCTGATTTTTTTTTCTGTTGTCCTCATGTTGTTGTTACTTCAATTCTGTAAGGAAACTCAGAATGAATATCAAATTCGTTGTTCTTTTAGTTTAGTAACATTGATGAGAATGATACACCTATTTTGTGAATTATGTACATTCAGGCGTTAAACAATAACGTTTTGATGTCCCTGAACACTGGTTTACTGAGATGCAAGACATGCAGATAAACGATTTCCTCACCGGGGGAAGGCATGGCTCGATAGCGGGGTACATTGTTAGTAACTAAGCGTTTTCACTATATAAATATAAGGTATAGTCATAGTGGTTTTCTGCACAACCATCAGCAAATCTGCGGAGGAGAGAACTAGGGTGGTGAATCTGGTTTATTCCTTGAATCAAATTTCGCAATTTTGCCTATTCGATGTAAAAAAGACCATCAACATGTTTTGAATAGCGATACTCACGCTAACGTCACCTATTAATATAAATGTGCCAACCAAAGTAAGCGCATTGGCTCCTGTTACAAATATGAATACCAAAATCAAAGTTTGTAAAGACAGAGTATTGCCTTACACAGAGAGAAATACCTACTTTTAAACTCCCTACTTAGCTTATAAAGTGTTTCTCATGAGACTGAATTCAATGAAACTCCATATAAATTTGTCTACGGCACCAAAAGTTCGAAAACTGATAGTTCCAAGTTTTGAGCCCTGCTTGGGCACAAAAATAAACTGTGCGACAGTGACACTGATTTAGAAAGAGCGTTTTAGTTATGTAAGAACGTACTAAGATACTGGAGCAAAGGGATGCGATATTAAAAGTGATAAAGAAACACTTCAAACAATGGTTTTTTCTCTTTCAAAACTTGGATTGCTGATACAGTACGATAGAATTCGTGATGATTTTGAAACTACGCGAAATTCACCTTTTAAGGGATGTTTTTCCCTAATAGCTGTTCACAAGCCCCGCTCTTCCCTTCAAAAAATCAAAGCTGCAGCCAGATTTTTGGGCAGTTTTGGGGATTGTGGTCATAACCTGACCGAGCCAGCCGTACCAAGCAGCACACGGCTAGAAAGCCTTGGATTGAAACTATATCCTTGCAACACGCAGCGCATGCTCAACAAAGATCTTACTTGATTTATGCAGAGTCTTTCTCGAGTATGCCAAAATGGACAAGCGAAAGAAAGGCTCTGCTGGTAGGGTAATCCCATCTAAGAGTACGAAGGAATCCGATCTCATGTAAAAAGGGAAGAAACAGATGTGAGATTGAACTCAAAAGAATACTGAATCCTTGCCTTAAGCACTATTTTAGGCACATGACAAGTGTTTGGCCACAAGGCAATTGGAGCGAAATGAGAATGAGTCCCTGCAGAGAACTGCTATTCAAGCGAAATGGGTAACTAACAGAGAAAAATTCCTGAGTAACTTGAAATGAAATCATTTTCATTTTTCATTTTCCGACTTAAAATGAATTGGACTCAGAGGCATTGCATCAGACTCTTGTATCTATAGAGCATGCTCAGAGTTCTAAGACTCTCTTTATGTCAACATGGCTTAGTGAAATAATCAGCTTTAGGTGTGACAGTCAGAGTAGCCGGCTTATTTAGACTAAGCAAGGTGTCCTTGAAATGTTACTTCTTGACAAAAACAAATCTCTAAATAATTATAGCGCTTTGACTTGGTGAAATATTGCCAGCGTATGAGAAAAATAATAGAAGCTCCAAAAAAGAGGGAGTCAACTTTTCATTTGCGTTTACTCTGCAAAACCAATGACCTCCACATGCATGAAATTTGATCTGAGTAACTAGTAGACACAACAAAGTCTTCCCATCAGTAGAGGCAAAATAAAAACGAAGCGTTTGAACCTGGACCGGAATACAGCTCAAGGAATCTGCAATCCCACTAAGGATTGGAATCCAGAATCCAAGTTCCACTGACAAAGACTGGAATCCAATATCTGAAATCCAAAATCCATGGCGTTGAATTCAGAATCCAAGACTGTCTTTGATTCCTTACATGGAGCGTTCTAATATAATGCAGCCGTGGTAACCGTAAAAGTGACGTCAAAGTACAAGCTATCTATCCAATGAAACAAAGCAGTATCATTTTAATTAATTCAATATTTGTGAAAAGGGCATGAAGGAAATTTTACAAAAAGACAAATTCCTGGACTGCAACTCGTACAGGCAATCGGCAGGAAAAAAGTTCTTGGGAGCTAAAAATTCCCCTTCTCACATTACCTTTCTAATGGTCCGTCTCTCAGTATGTAATTTTGAAAGAGGCTGACTCTACGCGCGATGAACTCGATCTAAACCTTCTCAGCCTTCATCTCGTTTACCCTTTTCACAACCAGGTAACTGGAAGTTTAGTTCTTTCCTCTAAAGGCAAATACCCTGTAAACCTTCTGCTTATCAAAAACCAGCAGTCGGTCTTGCTCGCCTTGAAACGGTGTGTTTTATGTTATGCCCATCCCAAAAAAATAGGGCTATCTCCTGCCATCACTGTTCTCCCATCATGCACAGCTTTCTCTTGCTTGATTGCATTTTTTATTACCAACAGTACAAGCTTCGAAAAGAAAATGTTGAAGCCTATAGTCAATAGCTTACTTTACATTTGCCCGACAAACGTTGCAATTTTCTTTGTATTTTTTTAGAAAATCGGATCACGCAATCTAAGTATGTTGATCGCCATTCGAGCTATTATTTGGTAAATAAAGTATAATAAAGTCTCTCAATTCTGAATAAAACTGACCGTGCATTCCCGGCTCTTTTTTTTCTATCACAGTTCATTTTTGACTACAGAGGAAGTACATGGTGGATATCTTTCTCTTTTTCGAAAAGTAACGCACGTGTACTAACCTTACAGCTTATGGGTTGATTTAGAGCTCCATACGATTAACTACGTCTGACCCATCTCAATCAAGCTGTTACGTAATTACTCGTTACTCAGGGTAAAAAGAGAACTAACTAATTAAAGACCTCGGTCTTACTATTAAAATGTGAAATTGTGATCTAAGGAAGGGATCCCACCAGATACAATTTACCTATGAGATCATATGATAAAATATTTAGCAAATCTACAAAAAAAGCTCAGAAATTCTATACTGATGACGCCTCGCTACCCAGATCCGGGTAGAGCTTCTGGTTGGTTGTGCCAGAAATTTGCTTCAACCAATCAAAAGCGCTACCGCTGCCTTTTCTCTCTCCAGGCTCCTCTAGTTATATTTTAGCGTTCGCGCTTTCTCAATTTCGCGGAGTATCTATCTCGGAGCCTGGAACAGGCTTCAATAATGAACGCAAATATGTTTGTGTTTTTCCCTAGATAAGATCGTATGTAAGAGTTCTCATTATTGTGAATAGTTCGAGTATTGCTATTTTCGCTTAATCACTTCTTTCTGACCATTTCATGAAACCCATTCTAACTGGTCTACTCTCATTCAAGCCTTTCTCGCGCCACTCTTCCATTGGTCCACATTTCATGGCGTCAAAAGAAAATATCGTATGAATGTTCTATATATACAAGTAAAAAACAATAGATCATAAAAAGAAAAGTAACGTATAAAAATATGTTACAAGTTAAAACACACACTGGGTTCACGCTTACACCACGGCAGAGCTCCCGTCATGTAGCAACATACATCACCGACACTGATTTCGCGGATGATCTTGCCCTAATTTCTGAATATCTTGAAGAGGCACAACTTCTCTTATTAAGACTGGAGGTTGCTGCGAAAACAGTGGGTCTGCATGTTAACTACAAGAAAACGGAATACATGCTGGGTACAATCAACCTGTAGGTGATTTTGTCACACTGGCAGGGAACAAATTGAAGCAAGTAGATAACTTCAAATACCTTGGTTCGTGGATACAATCCAGTGAAAAGGACATGAATATAAGAATTGGACAAGCTTGGAGTGCACTCAACAAAATGATGAAAGTGTGGAAATCAAACCTAAAAAATCATCTCAAAATAGGTTTCTTTCGGGCCACAGTTGAAAGTGTACTGCTTTATGGTGCTGAATGCTGGACGATGACTGGAAAGATGATGAATAGACTAGATGGTACGTACACAAGAGTGCTCAGAGCAGTTCTTGGAGTTTCCTGGAAGGAGCATAAAACCAACAAAGAACTGTACGGCAACCTTCCTAAGATTACAGATATACTGATGATCAGGAGGCTGCGGTTTATAGGACACTGTTGGAGAAAAAAGGATGAGGTGATAAGTGATCTACTACTCTGGGAACCAAAGCACGGCGCAAGAAAGAGAGGAAGACCAGCATTAACATACGTAGACCAGCTGCAAAATGATACTGGTTTGAGCATTGCTGAACTGAAGAACATCATGGAAAACCGGAAGGAATGGATGAAGCTAGTTAATGGAGTTCGAGTTCGCTCGAAATAAGCAAGTAAGCAAGTTAAAGAGTTTCGCACTAATGGAGTCACTCTGAGTATTAAGACTGAGCCTCAGTTCTTAGATGGATAACATTTCGTAAACGAGGCAATCAAATTTTCACTCCTTTAGAACGCGGATGAGGGTCAATTTCGCGTTCTATCCACTCTAAAAAGATGCGTTTTCAGTTAAGTACAGATCTCGAGGAGGTTACGCACTAGCCAATAATATCCTTTTTTAGAAATAGGTTGCTCTGTATGTGGTTTTTCTAACTCAATATCTAATTGGTTATTCTTTCTCTCATTGGATTTGCACATCTGAGACTTGGATTTAAAAGATGAAACCACCATTGGAAAAAGCAGTGTAGCGGCCACACCTTCTAACGCCTTTGATTTCACTAGAACGACACCCATCCACTGGGTCTCTCCAGTTCATTAATAATCCTGTCCATATTTGGCCTTTCCCAAGGTTCTTGCTGTACACATCGCCTCACGAGGCCTCGACGGCAGCGGTTTCCGATCCGCTTTATTTGTCTCTTACGATTCCCCGGGTCTGGTTGTTCTCTGATGCACATTTCACAGAGGAGGACACCGAAACTATACACATCAACCTAATTAGAAAGAAACAATGTTTCAGTAAGTCATTTGCGTACAGGGCGTCAGTCATTTCCTTCATCTAAAGTTTGTACCAGATTTTATTTGTATCCTTAAAGTGATCCACATTTTTAGTACTCGCCATACATGATCGCTTATTTTACCAAAAAAAAACACTGAGGTGTGTAATGCGTAAGGGAGAGATTTTATGAAATTCTAACAATTTCGAAATTTATAAAATATTTGCATGTAAAGGAAATGAACTTTGACTGGGTGGTAAGAGCCGTTTTACCCACACAACTCCTCTCCTAATTTTTGGCGGTCGTAGCAATCGCATATTTTATGTAGTTTGTACGTGCTCTTTCTATCCTGCTAAAACTATTTTTCCAAAACGCATTTTTTTCGTGTTTATCTTTTGTGTTTTCTTTTGAATGTTTCCATCCCAGATAAAAGAAAAAAAAGTAAGTTTTTTGAAAACGGGTGTACGTATAAGGACATGAGATATTCATCCCATGCCATAGAGAACAGAGCCAATCAGAAGCACATTAAACCAGCGGAATGTATATTCTGCAGTATGCACCGGGTAGTATGTAAAAAAAAAACGCGGCGATGCTTGCGGCCTCCCCATTTTCGCGCCGAAAATAGAGCAGATAGAGAAAGCCAAAACTTTTTATTCCACCAACATTTCCAGAAGCAAGTTTGCAAACAACACTATTAAACCTGAGTATTAACTACCATTCGGAATTCTTCGTCAAAGTTAAAAATGTAATATACAGATTTAGCCACGGCTCCTATTGAAAAGCTAAGTGATTTTGGAGTGAAACAAATCTTGTATCGAGTTGATATAGCCTTATATGTACACCCAAAAAGTTAAGAGCAATAATGGCTCTTGATCACTAAGGCTTTGAAAACAAATCAGGCCGAATTTTTTGCGATCGACAAGTTTACAAATTCTTAAATTCTTAATTACTCAGGCTTACCATATTTCGAGATGCAGCTCCTGAAAGCTATCAAGTAAGGCAAGGATCGCTTGAGCCTTTATAATTCTCGCACGCATCCAGCAAGGTGAAAAACAAAAACGATGCCATCCGAAATCGGATTATCGGCTTTGACAAGCGACGCATTTCTCACCCAAAAACCCAATAAACAAACCAGCCATGAATAAAAGAACACTCTTGATAGCAGCTGTATTTCATTTTGTACATCCAGTGGAAAAAGACAGTTAAAAACATCACAAGTTGACTCAAAACTCTGTCAGCTTCAGCTGTCAAAGTAAACAACTTTCAAGATGCTGCATAAATTTTACGCATGAACTCACCCGTCAAATTTTAACCAATCGGAGCGTGACCAACACTTGGCCATGGTAAGAAAAGGTCTTCCCCGCCTGTATTTTAAAAAAACTGTCTGAATTTTTGCGTCTGAGGTCAGTTTGAAATCAAAATCGTAATAGTGCGGGGCGATACTGACATAAACACAACATATTTGATATGAATTTTTAAAAAAAGTGAACGTGAGCCTGCAATCATTTGAAAAGGAATAAATTGTCAGCGGATAAGTTAAAAAATACTCGACCTTGATGGGTCGACACCTGAGCCCGCGATACGGTCAGGTGATACTGGTCAGCGGATACCCTGTTTTGACAGCTGTCAATTGATGACAACATTGATGTGCAATCAGCTTCCTCCTGGGCTCCCAAAATAGCCAGAAAGTGTGAGAGTAAACATTGGTATGCCTGTGGTGCGGACGGACGGTCGGTCGCTCGGTCGGTCGGTCATGTGATTACCAAATTTTCTGGGATGGGTAGATTACCTTAGCTATGGGGCTCCGCCCACGCGCGCGCGCGAGAGCTCCGCTATTACTGTACGAAAACAAACAGACTTTAACGGACAAAGAATTTTAATGATTTGCTAACTGAAAGCAGCAAAAGCGAACCAGTTAACCATAATATGCGAAGACCGAAATGGATCCACACTTCATGTACTTCGACACAACAAGCCTAAATGAAATTCTATCAGAAATATTCGGCAGCTGTCTTGACATTTTCTTCAGGATGCAGGTAAAGTAGACAGAAGTGAATAAGAACTTTAGTTTTCCACAAGTTGTCGATCATTTGACTTTGTTCGAACTTAACTTGACTATGATGTAGAGTTTTCTTATTTTCGGTCGTCACGTTGAGTGGCATGAGATAGTTATGCACGGCTTTCTCGTGGTATACAGTGAACATTCCACTCGTGACTTGATTTTTTCTTTGTATACAGTGACACTCGACTAAAGGCTCATGTGTGCATTAAGAAAAATCGAATCACTCGTGGGATATTTCACGGTATACCCGTGACTCGAAGGCTTTGCCTACCTAGTATTTATACATCCGTTTTCAAAAACATTGCTCCTTTATATGAGGTAAAAGTTGACACCTTTACCAGAGCCTACGGCGCTCGCACATGCTCTGATTGCCTCTCTCATTGTTTAACCGCGTTGTTTCGCGAACGCCTAATAACAGTGCAGATAACAGCTAAACGGATTGTTAGAGACAAGCTGATTTTACAAGCAGTTTATTTTGAACGCCGGATGAAGTACTAACCTTGCAGCTTATCCGTTCCCGCGCGGGGTCTGGATGCAAGAATTCCGGTGCACAGTAGACTGCAGCCCCTGCGTAATTGACACTGCTTTGACGTACAAAATTAGCAGTGCCATAATCAGACACTTTAGCTCTCCAGTGGTCACCTTCTCGCCATAGCAACACATTAGAACTACTGATATCGTGATGAATGATCGGTCGTGGTTTCTGATGCAGATAATTCAGTGCTTTCGCCACGTCCAGAGAAATAATAGTTATTTCTTGTTCGGATAGTGGTGTTTTACGTGTATCGTATAGTCTGGCCCTCAGACTACACTTCATGATCTCTGTTATTACCAGTGGTCTTTCATCAGTTGTCGCACCAATAAATTGCAACAGGCAAGGATGGCGGCATCTCGAAGCCATTTCAGCCTCTCGCAGGAACGATTGCAAATTACGATCAGACATAATATTCGAGTGCGTTTCTTTAACAGCGACATCACATCCACGAAATTGCCCACGATAAACAGTTCCCCACGCTCCTTCCCCAAGGTTCTGGTCTCCTCTGATTTGAACTTCATTTCGATTAATAACCCAGTCACGATCTCTTTGTTCTCTCAACCTTCTTAATTCTTCGTCTTTTAAACTTAATTCTCTTGTCATTTCTGTAACCTGATTTGAATGATCCCTTTGCATGGCATTCATTTGTTCTCTTGATTCCTCTCCCTGTGCGCGTAGCTCTCGTTACAGATCAGCTATTTGATTTCGTGCTCTTTGCAAGTCATTCTGTTGTTCTCTTCTGTTCAACTCATTTCCATGAAGTTCCGTGCGTCGAGACAATCGAGCTCTTTCTGCTCGGTCTCCTGAAGACGTAAAGCACTGTCCCATTGTAGTTGAAGTCCCTTACGGCAGTCTGCGCCAATTCTTTTGTATTGACCTTGATTTAACAGATACACACACGCACAAAATAAATTAAAAAATTATAAAAGATAGGTAAGGGTTATCGGCCAGGCCCCAGTTGTTCAAATGGTGGATAACTCTGCGTGCTGGATTGCGCTATCTATCTTTTAAACACCCGGCGCCTGAAGGGAAGGGTCATAACTCCAAATTGAAGGCTAGCTGAGAACTAATCAGATTCGATAATTTTGTTATTGACACAATTTTAACGACCGGCGTGCAATTTTCAATGTTCCGCTTCATCCAGCGTAACCCCTTCGTTCCGTTACTTGGTAACAGAGTAAAGCCAGACACAACAGAGACTTCCAGATTATTTTGTCAAAAATTCTACAAAAAAAATTACGATATGAAATAAGTAAGGTTATTGACTAGAAAATATAGCGTAGGCACATCTCAGTATCTTGGTCAAACAGCATAATCTCATTGGAAAAGGTATTTTTCCCGAGATAAAGAAATGGGCACTTTTTTCGAACTATTAAATTTTGCACTGCTAATTAATAGTCAGATGTTATGATGATGCAATAAAGTACTGAATCCATTTGAGAGAGAAATCTCTACCACAAAAATCGAATTGCAAACAATTCTGCACAATGTTGAAAAGCAAATGGTTTAGTCTCAGATGACTCCACAAAATTAGTATCCCTCTGATATCCGTCTGAACATTTAAGTGCCTTTCTAGTCTACGCTATATGCTTTATTGGAATTGTTCACGATAAATGGTTTTGGGTTAACCGCTGAAAATGGCTTAAAATGCAATTTTGTTAACCACGGGCTAAACTCCGTTTAAATAACTGGCCCCAAGTGTCTGCTGATGGCAGGCCAAATAAAACACTTTTTTAAACAGCGGTGTATTCTTGCTGGGATCAACTGGAGATGATCAGAGTCAACAGTATGTATTAGAATTTCCATTTGCCTTTGCTCGAGTGGATGAGATGAGTCATGATACTGCACAGATCGGTTCTCGAGAAACGACTGCAGTGAAACCTCTAGCCCCGGAATAAAAAAGACGGTAATCAGGTATTTTCTCCACACAAACTTCAAAGAAATAAACAACTCAATCATCCGGAATCAACTCACCAGTCCTCTCCAAAATGGGTTAAATCTGCTGCCTAAGAAATGTCAAGTAATGTCAATGTGAATGGTAATTCCCACACCCGAGTCAGAGCCTCCTAGCTTGAAGTTAGCTCTTCTTTTTAATATTTAATTCCCTGACTTACCTTTAAAGGTCTGTGAACCGATGTTGGACCCGGAAAAGCTACTGCCTGTTAAGTTCCGAGGGCCGGGGTTTCCCTCTTAAAGATATCATGAATACCGCGACGTATATGTCTCGCTCAACAGGGTCCTGATTTCAATACTTCTTCTCTTCAACGAATAATCTCGTGTATTCTACGTTTCCTGGGAGGTACGAAAGTTTCGCAAAAATCAGCAGCGAATTGAATGTCAATTTCAAAGTGCATCTGAAACCAGGTCCACATTTCAATGCTGTGGCGGCACATTATCGGTTAACCACCCACAACGTTCCTGAGTACCCACCCCGGAGTATAGCTTGTGGAATCGGACTTTGGTTTCGTGTTGCGTCATTCTTTAATCTATTTTCAACTCATCGGTCAATTAATTGTTTCTGGGGATAAAGGGCTACAATAATGAGTGCCTTGAAGGCATCTTAAATTTCATTAAGTTGTGATGCATTTGCCTTGCATGGAAACGGGAACGTTCAGTGAACTTTTAAGTTCAATCTAACTTGTTCTAGCGATCACGCTGGCGGGAAATTTTACGTTGCAATCTCCCTGGTCTGAATACTAACCCGCTAATGTCGAATGAAAACCTTAACGATCACAACAGTGAAAGTCCATCGTCATTTTGTTTCTGCGATTCGAGTGTTCCTTCGGCCTGTAAAGCTCATTCTGCTGTGGAAAACTTGCTCTAAATCAAACATTTTCCTTCGTTAATCGGTTTTCTTTTCCGTCTGAAGCTTTGGATGTCAAAGAAGTAAAGGATTCAAGTTTCGGGCTACCAAAGTATCAAATATTTAAGCACAGTCTCTAAGAAACGTAATACAAGTCGTATCAGGGGGAAGAATTTCCGGGTTGCTTTCGATAATCAGTCAGTCAGTTCCCTGGCAAGAGGAAATTCAGAAACTACTCCAACTCTTTGACTGGGAACAACATCACATAACAAGGTAAGTAAGTTGTTGTTTAATACAGCAACACAGAAAACTGATTTCCCCGAAGAATCGAGTTTCATTGAAACTGTGCCTGTGCGTGTAAAACAAATTTGCAAGACTTTGTAAATTAGATTCAGTGACATTTCATGCTTCATTCGGCATTTCGGGATAACATTACTTTAACTACTGCTTTTTTGTATCAAGCAGAATGGGATAAAACCGGACCCCTCACTCAGTCCTAACTGGGAATGTACGTGATACCGTGCTCTAGCAGTCATCTGAGTTCTTATCGTATCTGATATTTAGTTACTAAGTGGCTAAAAGTTTATGAGTCTCACAGGTGGAGTTTTATTTTATAGTGTGTCAGGCTTTCAGTTATCCTCAGTCATCTCAAAAATGCCGATTGCTTTTTATTGTACTGCTTAGAATGAGCTTGAGCAAAGGAAGCCGGAACTCTCTTGTGGTCTTCTTCCCTCAAGGAGAAGAAATAAAATTACTTCCTTCTTTAAAAACGTTACCGTTTCCAAATGTTAACTTTGTTTAAGTCGCTGCTCCTGCTGGGATCCAACAATAATTTCAAAATTTCAATTGGTTTGATCGTTCGCATACTAATTTTTTTTTTGTTGCAATAAAATTTCAAACGTTTTCACCCTCTGCCTTATTCAGTGAAATTAAATCTTTTGCGTTCATTCCTTAATTCCAGAGGAAAATGGCGGAAGTGCGAGGAAATGTATTGGATCAAAACATCTGGGATCATTCGAACGAAGAAGAAACAACAACGAAAAACCATTTGAGAAGGCTACATTCACAGTTAGAAGAAAAAGATGAAGAGATGAAATCCTTAAAACACGAAGTCAATATATTGAATCACCAAGTTGATAACTTGCAAAAAATCAATAGCTATCTGAGGGAGCAGTTGGCTGACTTGCACAAACAGTTAGAGGAAAAAAACAAGAAGAACAATGAAAATAATGAACCCGCAATACAGCAGCTCACTGAGTTGCAAGAAAAGTTAAATGCAAAGGAAGAAGAAATGAAAACCATGAGAGAAGAACTGACTACATTGCAAGCTAATACAGAACCATCCAGCGGGTCAAAAAGTCGTGTTAGTGAGCTGAAAAGTCAAATTAGAGCATACGAACAAGATTGGAAGAAATTTAGAGAAACATACGATCAAGAAAAAAGCCAAAAAAACGAATCGCGAGAATGTGAAGAACAACTAAGAAAGTGGGAGCGACATGTCGCTGACATGCAAAGTCAGTTAGAAGAAAAGGAGCATCGATTGACGACAATGGCAACACAATTGCATGGATTCCAAAATCAAGAAGAGCTAGTCAGTCAGCTGGAAGAACAACTGAGAAAGTGGGAGCGAGATGTCGCTGACATGCAAAGTCAGTTAGAAGAAAAGGAGCATCAATTGACGACAATGGCAACACAACTGCATGGATTTCAAAATCAAGAAGAGCTAGTCAGTCAGCTGGAAGAACAACTGAGAAAGTGGGAGCGACATGTCGCTGACATGCAAAGTCAGTTAGAAGAAAAGGAGCATCAATTGACGACAATGGCAACACAATTGCACGGATTTCAAAATCAACAAGAGCTAGTCAGTCAGCTGCAAGAACAACTGAGAAATAAAGAGCAAAAGATGGCAGTGATGAGGGAAGAACTGAGTCAAACAGAGCAGCGTGAGAGTGGCTTAAACTGCATCCTTTCTTCTTTTCAACAGGACAGTTCACGTGACTGGGTCATTAATCGGCGTGAAATTCAACTTTCGAATCAAGAGCTCGGGCGAGGGGCTTGGGGAAGTGTTTTAAGAGGAACTTTTCGCGGTTGTGATGTCGCTGTGAAACAAATGCACGTAAAAATAGCCTCTGATTTCAACAGACATTTATTTGAGAGAGAAGTGGATATGGCTTCAAAATGTCGCCATCCCTGCTTACTACTTTTTATTGGGGCTTCGATTGATGACAAATTACCATTGCTAGTTACAGAAATTATGGACTGCAGTTTGAGAAATAGATTGTATGAAAGCGAACAGCCTCCTTTGTGTGCAGCTGAAGTGTCTGTTATCTCACTCGATGTAGCGCGGGCGCTTAATTACTTGCACGAGAAGGCCACACCCATCATCCACCGTGATATCAGCAGTGGGAATGTGTTGCTATGGCGATGTGGTAACCAATGGAGAGCAAAGGTGTCCGATTATGGTACAGCTAACCTTGTGAGCCAGAGCGAAAGAAATGAACGGGGGACTGCGTTGTATAGTCCACCCGAGTGCTTAACTGAAGATCCCAACCGACCAATTAGTTGCAAGGTTAGTATGTTAAAGTAGGTCGATTTCATCGTAGAAAAGCTATCATGCATACAAAAAAAAGGGTTTTCTCAAAAATGTCTCCTCAAAAGCAAACCTTTTACTTCTAGAAAGAAAAAAACTCTGACAAATTTGACAATGCACGCCTTGAGAGACAAAGGTCTCAACTTGTGATTCAAAATACCTACCCCAACATGCAGACCTTGTGCATGTGTTTTGCATACATTTCCAGCGTTTCCTTTGCTATTGGCTATGGCAGTGTTTTTCTTAAGATGA